AGGATTCAATAGTCGGTCTGTTAGTCATGATGGTGTGAATTTAGCTGTTGTGGCACGTGATGCTGTATAGTGATTGAGTATGGTTTTACGCCGCTTTTAGCAATATTCCAGCAATATCACGGCGAGGGACACCAGATATGGGCTTCACACATTGTACCCATGTGGGGAATCGAACCCGGGTCTTCGGTGTGACGAGCGGACGCTTTAACCACTAGGCTACCCCACCGCCCCAGATCCTATATACACAACACACAAATCCCGCAAGGATAAGCAGCGTGTACTGTTTCCAGAGTGTTTCTGGTCTTCGGCCCTGCGCAGAATAAAGGGCATTTTACATGTGGTGTCTCCTTACGAAAATGATAGTTGGGAGATGCCAAAGTGACTGGGCCCTTATTCTCGAAACGTTCGTAGCCCTAAGAATTCTTAACTTTGATCGTAGCCAATGTGTTAAGAATGGGCTTAAGAAGTTCGTTGGGTTACGAACGTTTCGAGAATAGCTAGCCTTGTTGCGTTCGTGTCTCTTATAAGTAGGAGAATATTGTATTTCGAAATTTGGATGGGAACCGCATGCGTAGTAGTTATAGGATACCAATCATGGAAGCCAACCACTGTTGTGTCGAACTTGTATCTCTGTAATGCCTGTAATGCCTGTAATGTCCCTGCGTGTTTAGTTATTATTTTGCGACGTAGGTCCCTTGAACTTCGACACAAGGGTGTCTTCACTGTACATATGTGACGTTGATGTGTTTATCTTCATAGGCGGATCACCCCCTCACCCCCTTCTTCAAAAAGCTCTACCCGCTGAAGTCGCGGGTTCAATTCCCTACATGTTCAATTCCCTACTTCTGGTGTCCCCTGCCTTGCGTTTGCTGGGATATTGCTAAAAGCGGCGTAAAACCATACTCACTCACTCATCATAAGAAGGAGGAACAACGTCTGGAGGTTTAGGGACATGTAATAGTTTACATTATGTATCGTGACATTGCCTTGAATTTTGTTTCCAAACCCGAGGCCATTCATTAGTCAGTACATGTACTTTGGCAATGTGTTTTCGAATGCCGGATAGCCCTCTACCTAACCAAAGTACATGTACTAGATGGTGACCTACCTTCGGTGGCTGGCGATCTATAGCCCATGTTTATGTTGTAATGTCCTACATAGTATCTAATTTTAAGTTACATGCTAGTTTTAAATCTCTTACTGTGATATACTAGTTGTTTTACTGTCCTTTGGCGCCGGATTTTTATAAAATAAAATTCTAAAGTATTAACTGTTCTAGTCACGATATGGCTGAAATATTGCCAAAGTGACTTTAAATTTTAACTCACTCACTCACTCACGTGTACTAAAATCTGTACTTTGCTGACGAAACGTAATTCCCACTATAACATCTGTTACATTTGACCGCTTTCTAAATGCGTATTCATAAGCTGTTAAATGTTTGTCAAACAAGTCGTACCTTTTTGGATTTCATTAAATGTGCTGTCAACGTCTGTCTATTAACAATTTACTGACGCAAGCATGCAATTTATTAGTGCCAGAGGGGCGGTGGGGTAGCCTAATGGTTAAAGCGTTGGCTCGTCACGCCGAAGACCCGGGTTCGATTCCCCACATGGGTACAATGTGTGAAGCCCATTTCTGGTGTCCCCCGTCGTGATATTGCTGGAATATTGCTAAAAGCGGCGTAAAAACCCAACTCACTCACTCACTATTAGTGCCAGAACTTTCACATGACTCATATGTTTCTTGAAACATACATCCGTATCTTATAGCTAATGTACATTACAGAGCGCTGGAATAGCCAAGAGGGTGAAGTGTTCTGTCGAGACTCCGAAGACCTGGGTTCGATTCCCACGTTGGTAACACGTGTGAAGCTCATTTCTGGTGACCCCGAAGTGATATAGCTGGAATATTCCTAAAAGCGGTCTAATAACCATACTCAATCTGCACAATACCTTCCACAGTGTTCTTGAAAGGATTTTGCAAGGATTTCTTGTGGACATGGCACCGAAAATGAATGATCTACCAAACAAAGGTACACACATATGAATACTGAAGTGGCATATTGTCAGACTAGAAGAGCCGTACTTGCACAAGAGGCAACCATAGACGAGTGATGATTTGAGCCTGAAGTCTTGTTCTGCAAGTTAATTACCCACGTGACAAAAATCTGTTGAAATGATTGCACAAAATTAAGAAACGTCATTTTAAGAATTGAAAGTACGTATCCATGGTCACGGCCACCAGGAGGCGCACCCAAAGAGGCCAACAGCACTACAAGACCAAATGTGAAAGCTCAAGCAATTGTACTTTGGATAAACTTTGTGTTGAAGTGGATGCTCGTCAATCATGCTTTATTACTTGTATGGGCCGGTCGGGTAGCCTAGTGGTTAAAGCGTTCGCTCGTCACGCCGAAGAGCCGGGTTCGATTCCCCACATGGGTATAATGTGTGAAGCCCATTTCTAGTGTCCCAGATATTGCTGGAATATTGCTAAAAGCGGTGTAAAACAATAATCACTCACTTCTACATGCATGCATCAATGTGATTGAATTTGTTTGTTCTTATGATTGTTTGTACTTAATAATTATTCATACTTGACAATTATTCATACTTGACAATTATTTATACTTGATCGCTCAAAGGGCAAAAGAGCATAGCTAACTTGTTAAGGATTACGTTGCTGGTATTTGTCGCTTTGTACAATATTTGAAATGTTGAATTCGTTTCGTGCTTTAAGACAATAATAGACTCTTCAAACAGCTGATGGTCACAACTATGTCCAACTCAACTGAAGGTTGCGTCATCCCTGATCGTATATCCGGGGTTTGGCTTAACGTCGTCGTCAGTATTGGCGGCGTTGTGAGTCTCATCAGCGTGGTCGGTAACGGCATCATCCTGCTCGCCTTCATGAAAACAAAGTCGTTACATAAACCTTGCAACGTCTTTCTAACCAATCTTGCCTTGGGTGACTGTCTGTACGCCATGATAGGCTTTCCGATGTACTTCATCACAGACTTCGTACACGAGTGGTGGTGTAATTCTGTGTTTTCATACCTCAGAATATTCATCCTTGCTCTTTTGATAATGGTGTCTATTAACAACATTGCACTGATAGCCCTGGAGAGATTACTTGGGATTCGGTTTCCATTCTATTACACCGCAAATATCACAGTGAACAGGTGTTTTTTCCTAGTGGTCTGCAGTTGGGCGTTTGCGGTAGCCAGGGCGATGTTCTTTGCCGGGACCTATTTCGTTAATTTAACACCGGCGGTGTCCATGGAGGTGGTCATCATTGCCATTTTGCTCACTTTTACTGTCGTTATATACTCATATGTCTATGTAGTCAGTAGACGCCATTTGAAGAGAGATATACTTTACGGGATAACACAGGAAAGTAAATCTCAAACTGTTGTCTACATTGCTATAGTGAATGCCCTGTCCTGGATGCCAGTCATGGGGGTGAGGTTTATAGATACCGTTTTCATTGACACCCATTACTGGCGACAGGCAACATTTTTGTCACCCTTCGTGGGCACCTGTTTTAATTTGTTGATCTATACCTGGAGGCTGGGAGACTTTAGGCGGGCAGTCAGGAAATTGTTAATGTGCCCGGTACAGGTTCAAGTTGAAGATATGTATTAGTGTAACCCTACTCTCTCTCTCTCTCTCCCTGTCTCTCTCTCTCCCTCCCCCTCTCTCTGTCTCTCTCTCCCTGTCTCTCTCCTCCGTCTCTCTCTCTCTCCTCTCTCTCCCTCTCTCTCTCTCTCGTTTCTGTTTCTCTGTCTCTGTCTCTGTCTCTCTCTCTCGCTCTCTCTCTCTCTCTCTCTGTCTCTCTCTCCTCTCTCCCTGTCTCTCTCTCCCTCCCCCCTCTCTCTCTCTCTCTGTCTGTCTCTCTCTCTCTCTCTCTCTCTCTCTCTCTCTCTCTGTGTCTCTCTGTCTGTTTTGTGCGTAACAGCGTGGTTGTTACTTGTCGATTTCCAACTTAAAAGACCAAGTTAATGTAAAAGTAAATGGTTTGGTGGTGAGAGGCCTAGAAACAATTAAAAACTTACATACAAAGAACCATTGTACTGTACAATTAACCAAGCCTGCAAAGCAATGCAAATTACTACAAAGGAGGTTTCAACTTTAAAATAGATACAATACAAATCAAATGGTAGTACACTGACAATGGCAATATCATATACAAGAGTAGTAATACAATACATAATACAGTCACTAGGTAGGGCACTGGAGACAGTGATAACGTTATTCCCCAAGCAGTAATTGTAGTCAAGTTTACAAAACAGTTCCTGGCTCTATGTTCAGATTGAAAACGATTTTCACTCATTGCCAGTTTTGGTTAAAGTAATGTCTTGATATAGACATAACCTCCAGAAACTTCTATGCGAAGTTTGATTATTCCTGCTTTTCAAGAAGCTTGTGAAGTGCCATCTGTTTTTATATATTTCATTATTTTCTGAAACCCTTCAGGTGTTTGTTATACGTTTGAATGACTTATTGTATGATATATTTTATCATATTTTCAATGGAAACGTCCCTTCCGAAAGCTGCTCTCTATCTTGTCTCGCTGTACATTCCATTTTTGTTTATATTTATGAATTGCTGTATTTTTACTGTAAAACTGTGATGAATATCGAGTGCAGTATATCGTCATAGTTAAATACATGTATGTATCGAATGAATAAACAATCGGGTTGAAATATAACCTGAATGAAAATAACCTTTTTCTTCTTACCCTTTGCAAATAAACACGCGAAGATCCGGGTTAGAATTCATCTTCAGTAACCCATGCGACTAACGGGATCGGGTGGTCAGGCTCGCTGAATTAGTTGACACATGTTGTACCCAATTGCGTAGATCGATGCTGATGACATTGATCACTGGATTGTCTGATCCAGATTATTTACAGACCGCCGCCATATAGCCGGAATATTGCTGAGTGCGGCGTTAAACAACACACACACACACACACACGCGCACGCACACGCACACACACACACAACAATATCTATTTGCCTCTTGTGTCATCTCCCATTATTAAAGTCAGTTGAATTGGGGAGAAATTCGCAGACAGGCCGCCATGTAACACACACATATAATACAGAAAGGAGTTCAGTCGGAACAGACAACTGTTACACGAAGCAGAGAAATAGCGCATTGCTTTTAATTGAAACACATAAACCGTTTTGTTGCTTTACAATTTCGTCAGCCTCCAAGCGGGTATTGTAGGAATTGTGTACCGATTCCGAGGTAAAAATGGTCTCCAGCAACCGATGGTCGTACAGCAGAGACTGTTCATCACGTGTCATATTACATCCAACGGTGTGTTCACACTATCAATCACTGAATTATCTGACCAATACTAGATTTTTATCTAGTGGCTGCCGTCATATAATTGCTGGAATAGTGCAAAGTGGAGGTAAACATCAACAAATATAATCGTATTCTTTATGTAACCGAAATAACGTAGTGAACAAATTAAAAATGCTCATAGATTAAATTTTAAACAAGACGTTGACGAGGACACAAAATAAATTCCACTTGATGACATCATCTCCAAGGTCGACGGTGTCACTTTTCAGAATTCGACACTTTGCGTCAGTATTCGAGAATTAGGAAAAGGGCGAGGAATTTAACTCCCGGGTGAATGAAGTTTCAACAAGAACTTTCCCAACAAGTAGCTATGAAACGTCTGAGTTGTCGGGAACGACATTCGATCAAACGTATTTATAATGCGCTTTTGTCACTCATGTTGCCGTATCTCTGTGAGGGTTGGAGCGGAGAGTTTGTGCCGTGGCATACAAAGACCTGAATCCATGTCTCCAGCGATATTACAACTTCTCAAAGTCAGAATATCCACAGAACGAGGAACAAATACCTCCCATGACGCTATGACTCGAAAACGACTATGGCGAAAACGACCTTGGGGTTTTCTGCGACTAAAATGGGCTTTCCTCGCCTGAGTCCGTATTTCCCATACTTCGAATGTCCGACGGTATAAGTCTCGCATTTTCTCGTGAGGAGGTGGTGTTCCGGTGTGACGTCACTTCCTCTTCTTCATCGGAATGGCCAATCTCGTTGTCACCCAAACTGAATCCCTGAAACATTGTTTATTTACAGTTAAAATTATTTCAATTTCAATTTTCAATGGTATATTGTTTTCAAAGCCATTTTGACCAATGATAGGTTACGTTAAATATTTACATGTAAATACACACATGCGTATCAAAGGCATTCTTCTCGTACACGAAACACACTGTATAAGTATTTTCATAACATGAAATCATAATCATTACAATTCATTAAATATATTAAACCATTAATATTTCTACAGTATTTGAAAATAAGTGGTATATCATCACGAAGAATTTGATAAATTGGACAATAAAATATAATATGGATTTCATCTTCGGTTACCTGTAAATCAACAAACTAATGCGTGTATTAAATAATGCGAGTGCAAACCTCAAAACGAAAATGCGTGTATTTATTAATGCGAGGAGGCAAATCAGGAAATGGTTGATCAGAATGACTATACTCACTAATGACTACACTCACAACTTTGGGAAATACTATACTAGTATTTAATCCGACTCTAGTGTAAACATCTTAATTCCCCGAACACATGGGCGTTTGGATCAAAGACGGCTTTCCTTTCAACTGTTAGTATTAGTAATTGACAGTAGACAGGATGATCTCAGTTTGTAATCTCAACACAAAAGACGATGACAAACCTGTTGATTTGAGGATTAGCGTCACGAAACCTGTTCATGCTCGCTGGATGCAATTAAAAAGGTAGGCAGAAATCGTGAGGTAATATTACGTGGATGGCAGTTGGCATGTCTGCTGTACGTGGTCCAGTGAGTTCAAACCATGTAAACTAGACTCTTTTTTTAAATATTAATTTTATAAACTGTCAGTAATACCAGGAATACATCAGCTAAACGAGCAGGGCACGGTAGTTTGCATAACGGCTGTCAGACAGAGTGAGTGAGTGAGTTTGGTTATACGCCGCCTTTAGCAATATTTTAGCAATATCACGGCGGGGGACACCAGAAATGGGCTTCACACATTGTACCCACATGGGGAATCGAACCCGGGTCCTCGGCGTGACGTGCGAACGCTTTAACCACTAGGCTACACCACCGCCCCACTCTTAGACAGAGATAAGATAATTCCCGTACACAGTTCAGATGTTCCCGTCTTTTGTCTTACTTGAGAACCGAGAGAGCCTGGTTAGAATTGATCTTCAGTAACCCATGCTTGTCGAAAGAGGCCACTAACGGGATCGGGTGGTCAGGCTCACTGACTTGGTTGACACATGTCATAGTATCCCAATTGCGTAGATCGATGCCCATGCTGTTGATCACTGGATTGTCTGACCCAATTATTTAAAGACCGCCGCCATATAGCTGGAATATTGCTGAGTGAGGCGTTAAACAACAAACAAACAGACATTTGGACGGTGGTACCGCCCCGACAACCAAAATGTTTTCGAAAGGAATATTACAATCCCAACACTGCATTGGATGGGTCGTTCATACTGCTCTTAAAACGTATAAATGTAAACGTGTTTTCATTTTGCTCTCAATAGACGTAGATTTTTATGTCGTGGCCACCGTCATATATAATAGCTGGAATGGTGCTGAGTGCGGCTTAAAACTAAACTCACTCACTGTTTTACTTACAAGTACCCGCTGGTAGGATCCGTAGCACCTGTTGACGAGACACTTGGGAAGGCAGCAGCACAGGGTTCCACAGATGGGGTAGATGTAACGGGCGTCAACGTGGTGGCCATTCCAACCTAGGAGATAACGTGATAAAATTTAAAGGAAGCCATCGACCGTGACCTAAAGACTGCCAGACCTAAATTAACACGTGACCGAAACACGTGCCAAAGAAATTTTGCACAGGGCACAGTGTATGAGCGGATGAATACTTACAGGTAAACCAGCTGACGATGACGCCAGTGACAATCGACACTCCAACCGACACTGTTGGATACCAGAGGAAGGACAGCCGGTAGATGAGCTTTATTCCAGTCCTGCATGACATAATATCGTTATTCATGAGCAAAGACGGCTATTACAGAATATAATAGAGGTTAATGGGTTATATTAGAAAGTTTACGATTACGTTTTATGGTGGTTTAATGAACAGAACTTTTATTACGCTCAGGCCGTGATACTTGGCATAAGTGGTACAAATATACAGTTGAGGTGAGGTGAAATTGGGTTTAACGTCGAAATTGGGTTTATTTCGCTCATATGACGACGTGCATGCGTGTGTATGTGCGGCTGCTTGTACTAGCCCAGGCTAAAGCTGGTTTTATAGTGCTAGCCCACTGAGATGCCATGCCGCAGTGAAGCATGAATACCCCACTCAGACACATTATACTGACTCCGAGCCGACCAGTCCTTGTTGTACCCATTAATGCCGAGCGCCAGGCAGGGACCAACAGTACCATATTTTTACGTCTTTTGGTATGACGCGGTCGGGGATCGAACCCGCGACCTTCCGCTCTCCGGGCGGACGCTCTAACCACTACACCACGGAGGCGGTCTATATACCGTTGAGAATACATGGGGTAGCGGTCTGGTTTACAAGGAAGATTGTACACTTTACATGATATTATTACAAAAATATACAGTTTGTAAGACACTAATTCGTTTATAGTTAAACGATTCGTTAAATTTTACCACATTGGGTTGTTTAACATAATGGTTTGGGATGTACGTTTTCCGATGATGTTTGAAGAAAGGGCAGAGAAAAATGTAATGAAATTCATCGCCAACATCACACGTGTCGCAGAGGTTACACTTTGATTCTTCGGGTGGAATTTTGTGCCACCTACCTACTTCTATAGATGAACGATGGCAGGAAGTTCTAAACAAGAGAATTTTAAGGGCCAAGGAGAAAGGGATATATGTGAAATATTTTTCAAGGACAAGTTCAGTTTTGAAAACAAAGACGAAATGGTGTGATGTGTTCGGTACCGGTACCACCATCATCATCATCATCATCATCATCATCATCATCATCATCATCGATATATCTCCCGGGATTGTATTCAACCAATGTTTCCCAAATTACCCGGCCTTCATTTTCATTAACGGTTTACCGACCAATCAAACGTCCAGTTGTTGATATCGCCAACTCGACATTTGTTACTCGGACTCTGATTGGTCCGTTAGACTGAGTAGCCTTGAGACTGTGAATCAAAATAGCTCATGGTAATCAAAGGCTGTAAATGGAGAATCACAGGAATGGAACAGGCGTGATTATGGAGTTACAGAAATACGAGGCGTGCAGATACACAGAATGGTGCCATAATATTGTCTGTTTTGGTCCGACGTGAGTACAGTGATTAGGTAATCGATTTCGACCTCCTAGGGTGTCGATAACATTTGTCATGTTTTGGTCATTTGTCAGTTTACAGAGTTTATTATCATTTCATGGCAGGGTCTGGCTTATCCATATCTCCAGGGATGACCTAATTTACAGGCAAATAGAAAGATTTGATTCAAAATGATGCCCCATTAATAAGGAGTGAGTATTGTGTTACGCCGCTTTTAGCGTAGCGATATCAAGACGAAGCACACCAAGGACTGGCTTCATACAAAGTACCCACGACGGGAATCGAACCCGGGTTTTGGCGTGACGAGCGAACGCTCTTACCACTAGGCTACCCCACCGCCCCTGAAATACTCACTGTATATGATCCATTCGTACTGACGTTCATTTGGGTGGGGCAGCCTAGTGGTTAAAGGGTTCCCTCGTCAAGCCGAAGGTGAGTGAGTGAGTTTAGTTTTACTCCGCACTCAGCAATATTCCAGCTATATGGCGGGTCACGCCGAAGGCCCGAGTTCGCTTTTCCACATGGGTACAATGTGTGAAGCCCATTTCTGGTTTCCCCCACCGTGATATTGCTGGAATATTGCTAAAAGCGGCGTAAATCCATACTCCCTCACTCACCGTAGCCTACTGTCGACACAAGGACTCAAATCTAAGAGGGGGCGGTGGGGTAGCCTAGTGCTTAAAGCGTTGGCTCGTCACGCCGAAGACCCGGGTTCGAATCCCCACATAGGTACAATGTGTGAAGCCCATTTCTGGTGTCCCCCCGCCGTGATGTTGCTGGAATATTGCTAAAAGCGGCGTAAAACCAAACTCAGTCAGTCAGTAAAATCTAAGATTTGGTGCAAAAGTGTTTTGTACTCGTGTTAGCTGTAAAAATGGTTAATAACTTTCATCAGTACCAGTCTTCTTCAACAACGCCATGTTCATCAGCATGTGGAATGGCCATCGATAAGTTGAGTTGACTGTATGTGAGAGTCTCGTTGTGGACGGCACACCCTGACGTGGATAACGGAAGTACTGGCTGAGGCGCATGCGTCACAAAGGAGCCAATCGCAATCCAGAAAGTCGCCGCTGTACTAATTATCGTGGCAGTTATTGCTCCCTGAAAAGAAATCAAATCCATCCATCACCTTTAAAACTGTTCGTTACTTTAAAGGGAAGTAGGGGCTCAAGCGTCAAAGATACTGCAGTTCATTAAGCAGAACTTATTCCAGTAATCCAGATTCGTCTCGACCACGTTCCTAGTTTCGTCTGTCAGAACCATCTTATAATAATAATGATAATGATAAGTCATCTTCTATAGCGCACAGTCTCCAAACCCCCAAGTGATTGCTCGCGGCGCTTAATCAGAATCTGATTCTTATTACCCCGGATAACCCAAGCTGCCTGTTAGGCGCTAGAAGGTTATAGTCACAGGATTTTATCCCACCGGGTACCCATTTTCTGCTGGGTGAACAGAGGCAATTTGAACAAACTCACTTGCCTAAGGTGAGACCACATCCATCACAAGTGCTTCGTTGTGGGGCAGGACTGAAGTCCTAGAAACTCTCAGGAGTCAGGCTGCCAAACACGGTCACCCATCCAAGGATTGTCCGAGCTCGACGTTGCTTAACTTCAACTGATTTGTGACCTGAGCTCTGTGCACAGGACCACGCTCCTAGTTTCGTCTGTCAGAACCATCTTGGATTTCTCCAAACTGGTAAAAATCTGAGACCTATATCACTTCAGGCTTTAATTGTTTTCTTAAATTCGATTTTAGTATGCCGTCCAATCCAAATATGTAAAACATTACAGTCTGTTCGTGTTTATTCGCCATGTTGTCAGTCAGATGTACGTCAGCCCAGCAAAGCCACAGCTTTAGTTGTCTCTATAACGGCTAGGCATGATATAATTGAAAACAGGCCTCAAAACCATTCGAACCAGAGGTGATGGATCTATGCAAAGTCTAATCAAACTAGTCCAGGGTAACCGACATCAGGTTCATATGGAACCTGGCGACTCTCGTGCTGATTTTTGTCGCTTGCGAGGCTTGCAGACCATTTTACCGTCCACTGGGCATCCATTTACTCGTCACCCCCTTTTTTTACACTTGGCATCTACAAATATTTTCAAATGTTTTCATGATTTCAATCAAGTTTCTCAAGTGATTTGATGAAGTTCGAAAGTTTCATCACAGTAAAGATTGTGATTATCGATCAGAAATTCCAACTTTGTTCCGCAATGGTTGTAGCAGGACCTACAGTCAGTTAACTCCCTTGCGTCAAGAGGATGGACATAACCTTACTGCCCTAGCAGTGGTTCTTTGACTAAAAAGCAAACTTGCCATGAAAGCCAATGTCTAGGCTTTAGTACATCTTTAGGATTTTAATCAACACTCGTGTCTTTTGGTTACCTTGGAATTGCACCCTGGACAAAACATGCCAAGTAGAAACAGCCCCAACAGCGGGCCCCCAGCCATCCCCAACGCCGTGATCATAATCTGAAAAACATGGGAGACTGTGTCAGGGGATTGAACACCATCCTCGATGATGGAGGGTATTATATCTTCATTTCGTACTGGTACCCATTCGCAACCACGGCTTTGGGTCCATTTGTATAGCCAGTTTCCTGAGCGAGGAACATTTTGAGCTGAATGATGATGGTGGTCATCTCACTTCAAAACTAAACGGTGGTTGCGAATGGATCGAGGGTAATTATCATAATAGAAACGACACATAATTCCAGATATTGTCAGTGATGTGTTGAGAAAATTCATACATCTACATTGGTATACCTAATTTAAATAGTGAAATTAGATCATTAGAGTTAGTGAGTTTGGTTTTCCGCAGCTTTTAGCAGCATTCAAGCAATATCACGGCGCGGGACACCAGAAATGGGGTTCACACATTGTAACCACGTGGGGAACCGAAGTCGTGTATCTGAGCAGTAGAACTACGGTATGACAAACACCAAGTGATATGAACGGGCCATCTGGACCCTCCCGGGATGTCTGAGTCCCTTCTGCTACAAGGTCTATTTGAACAGGGCCCCGATCCACAAAGCGTTCGTAGCGCTACGCCATTCGCAATCCTATGATAAACTATAGAGTTACGACAGGTCGCAACGTTACGAACGCTTTGCGGATCGGGACTCGAGACCCCGTCACAAGAGGATAAATAAATTCCATGCCGTGCTGCAGATGGTTATATAATTATTTACACAGAAAGAAAATCTATTATACTTATTTTTTAAAGAAAAAATACACGGAAAGGTATACACGATCATGAAACTGTATCATGTTTGCAAATGTTGTTAATACACGTGATGTAATGAGATAATGAATAGAAGAGTCTCACCTGTAAAACTGTGTTCCCAAGAATTGATGACAAAAATGCCAATCCGATGACAATCCCGCCTCCAATTACCCCTGTTCAAGTATACACAATGCAAATGTATGAACGACCCTCTTTGTAGAACATTTCTAATATTCTGACGTGTGTGAGCGAGCCTCAAACCAACCTGGATTCGAACCCGCGATACGTCTCTGGGATGCGTAAGGGAAGCAGCTCCCCCGTGCCTCTGGTGAATAGTGAGTGAGTTTAGTTTTACGCCGCACTCAGCAATATTCCAGCTATATGGCGGCGGTCTGTAAATAATCGAGTCTGGACTAGACAATCCAGTGATCAACAGCATGAGCATCGATCTACGCAATTGGGAACCGATGACATGTGTCAACCAAGTCAGCAAGCCTGACCACCCGATCCCGTTAGTCGCCTCTTACGACAAGCATTGGTTACTGAAGATCAATATTCTAACCTGGATCTTCACGGGTCTACTGCTGAATATATTACATTCAGGTCAGCACTACTGTTTTAATATACTCGTGCCAATAATGGTAACTTTACACATTTAAATAAAATACTGGAAATTCAAACCATCCCATGTTTACACACCTCTGTGAATAGCTGGAACATTGCTCTTGAGGTCTAAACAAACATTACTGTTCAAAGCATCGCTGTATTCCAAATGCCGACACGTTATATTACGGATTACACTTTCTCAGTATAAAGTACAGATTCTTTGGCTTAGCCACAACCCAGTTTTGTAAAGGCGACTAAGGTTGGGTCCTACTCGTGATAATCAAACCCGTACTCTCAGAGTCAGACACCAAATCGCCAGCACACACAGCCAGCGATCAAACCCCACTCAGCCACTGTGGCCTTTGCACTGAGAAACTGAGAACGTGTAATCCAAAATATAACATACATTCACATTTGACCACTTTCTTAATGACAGTGTGTATTTATCCTGTAGTAATAAATCCACGGCATTTTCATGCTGAGCGCAGCGTTTAAAATTCCCGCCTGCCCGACCGTCCGGAACGGTCTATTTTCATCTCGGACGGTCAAATTTCAAAAGTAGCCTGTCCAGTGGTCTGGTAGATATTTTTACCCCAAACAGTAAATATTTCACAACATCAGACAGGTTCTCTTGTCGTCAGTTTGGGGTGTTTACGGTATTATGATGATTATGTTAAACTACTTACGATTGGACAGTTCATGTTACGATAACCAATCACAACACGTGTACTTTCAGTTTACCTAAACTCGGTGCATTGCCTGTTAGTGCTATGTTGTTCATTGCGATGCCTACAAACAGTAAACTGACTAACCTGATTTTGTTTGTTTTTTATTGTCGAAAACCGGACAGGCAAGTTTGTATCCGGACTGGTAATTTTTTTAAGTTACCAGTGCGGCTGTCTAGCTTGGAATTTTGGTAGTTTTAAACACTGCTGAGCGACGAATTTAGATCACATGGACAGATGGCGACTTTGTTGACGGTTCGTTACAGGATCCGCTGCTTTTCATTTGTTTTCACAAATTCACTTACTGATATGTCTAGTCCAGATTATTAATAGCTGAGAGACTGCGGCGTAAAACAGGACTCGCGCTAGAATAACGCTAAGTCTCTGAATATATATAGTGTTGATAGTTAAAACTAAACCCACTTAAATTGAAAAGGGACCCCAGTCAAAACTAGAGTTGCTTCATTTGCGTCTTTAGCATTGCGGGCAGGGGTAGGCAGTAGGGAAAATAATGAGCATCGGTGACTGTGAGACAGACTAAACTGACGTTCAAAAGAAAGTACACACCTGATTCTTTGGTAAAATATTTTCTTTAAAACAGCATTAATATTTTTAAAAATGTTTTGATTCTGCTTGTCACAAACATTGTGCAAGTGTTTCCAAAACACCACAGATATTGTACCCAATTACAACATTGCTAGCAACATATTTATGGATATAATGGGAATACAGTAGTCCCAAAACACTAGGTGTGTACTTTCTAATGTACCTCAGTATATATTCTCCCATCACCCGGTCCTAGTCTACCTAGTAGTTTTGCCAGCCAGGCCTCTGTTGGTGGCGACATGGACTTCTTGCACGTCTCCAGACACGGCTTGATGATATCCTCCAACAACGTGATGGACGTTGCGTTCAGGCAGGACGAGATGGAGCTGACGGTAAGCGACAGAAAAACATTCATGAAACATATGATAATGGGGGTCATTTGAGTGAAGGCGGGTTTTTTTCGTTTGCCGAAAGTGTTGAATTATTTTACTTTATTATACATTACGTTATTGAGTTGGTGTGGTGACAGGGTAAACAAAAATTTTTTGAATCTTTATTACATCCGTTCATCAGCTGATGGGATTACCGTTAAAAGATTAATTGTTCTGGGAGAAAGTGTTGCTACACACCTGAGAGCTGCTGCGAATATACAGGCCACAAACAGCCCGGGAACACCTTTAATCTGACCCAGGGTGTCCATTGCCAGGAAGGGAAGTAACTGAGGAGAAAAGAGACTGATGAGAGAGGGAGATCAATGAAACGCCGTAAGTCAGTCAGTAAAACGCCGTAAGTCAGTCAGTAAAACGCCGTAAGTCAGTCAGTTAAACGCCGTAAGTCAGTCAGTAAAACGCCGTCAGTCAGTGAAACGCCGTAAGTCAGTCAGTAAAACGCCGTAAGTCAGTCAGTAAAACGCTTTAAGTCAGTCAGTGAAACGCCGTAAGTCAGTCAGTGAAACGCCGTAAGTCAGTCAGTAAAACGCCGTAAGTCAGTCAGTGAAACGCCGTAAGTCAGTCAGTGAAACGCCGAGAATACATCAGTCGCTGAAAAACCGTATGTCGGCTAGTAAGTCGGTGAAACCGCCAGTAATTAAGCCCATTGCCTGGTGTCCCCCGCCGTGATATTGCTGGGATATTGCTTAAAGCGGCGTAAAATTACTCACTCACTCACTCACTCACTCAAGACAACGAGCCTTGCCATCTGGGTAACGTTGTACAAAAAAAAACAGCCCTAGCGCTACGACTGTCGTAAGTCTATGTTAAGGTGTGGGGGTTACGATCCCTTTAGCGCTGAGATCGCTTTGTACAACGACGCATTTATCAATTAAACCCCATTTTGTGTTAGTCTGAGGTTTCTAGTTCCGAGTTCAGTGATGCTGATACTGATGTTGGTGAGTGAGTGAGTGAGTTTAGTTTTACGCCGCACTCAGCAATATCCCAGCTATATGGCGGCGGTCTGTAAATAATCGAGTCTGGACCAGACAATCCAGTGATCAACAGCATGATCATCGATCTGCGCAATTGGGAACCGATGACATGTGCTAACCAAGTCAGCGAAACTGACCACCCGATCCCGTTAGCATAGTCGCCTTTTATGGCAAGCACATGGGTTGCTGAAGACCTATTCTACCCCGGATCTTCACGGGTCTGATGTTGGTAAGATAACGGTATTGGTGACTCTGTGATTCGAGTAATTAAAAAAAGTACCTGATCGTTTGAGATTATCTGCCCATTTAACAAGGGGTCACAGCTCCGGTAGGTGGCGTAAATCACAAGGCCGGTCAAGCATACAAGGGAGATAAGCAGGAAAGTGGCAGGAAGGCTGATATAGAGGGCGCTGTCAAAAACAAAACATATCATATAAGAATCATGTCCTTAAATCTATCCTCGGACACATAAATATAAATTTGAAATCAGAAACGAGGTATTATTTATACTAAAATCCGTCCGTTAATACAGCCAGTGAGATTCGAAAACGCGACCAATGACAATGACGCGTTCAATTATCTCATGCCTAATTACACAGAACTTCATTAATTTCTTTAACCATTTCGCGCGAATTATTACTAAAATTGATCATACGTATTTAAATGACCTCGGTGCAATACAAATGATCAAATAAAATAGCAAAATATACTTTTCATAAGAAAGCTAGTTTATCCAGTTTGTCTGAATATGAAGTATCTCCTAAATACCGAATCACAAAGAAAATGATGAGTCTACACTATAAGGTGGAATTGAATATTGAACAGAATGTGTGTTTCCACACGAACATTTTTTAAAAAGGTCGAAATATTTCATTTGCCTTCCCGTCAACTCTAAGAACACAGTTATACTTAATGAAATAAGACGTATGTTGGAAAGTATTTTGCCCTTTTAAAATAAATATAATAAACAAAACAATTAACCTTCCAGCTCAACTCAAACTTACATCTGGGAGTTCCTGACGTTCTTGATAGACATGTATCTCTGTAACATCGTCTGATTGGCTCCATAGATCGTCAGCTGACCAATGAAACTGCCGAACACAGCTCCCCACACCGTCAGTCTCGTGAAAGGACTCGGGTCAAAACTGGCAAGGAGCAAGGAAAGTTATCGTGACATCAGCTAAAAGGTTTGATAGGTCCATACGCGAGAGTGTGGTTGGAGTTGTCGCTGTATTTAACATATTTCAGTTTCATTACGACGAGTCAGCACAATGTGGATGGCAATTCCGGGTTAGGTGTTGATAAACCTGGAAACAAAGTCGGGTCACAAAGGGATTTACAACTCAAGATCACTTGGTTACTATCTTATCATATAAACTCTGTCATCGATTAGGAGCTGGATACTCGAGGACACTGTCTAGTGTTAGATCAGTTCCTGAATTGTCGCCAGGAGTAGCAAAGATACTCATCCAGCAATACTACAAGGTTGACGACCTAAAATAGCACGAGACCAAAAGCAAACAAGGAGAAATCCTTTTTGTCATACACTAGTACATTTTGATTGAACATATCAAGCAGGATATTCAAAACCGAAAACAAATCATTGTGGTCTAGTTTTGTTGTTGTTGCTATTGTTGTTGCTGCTGTCGTTGTTGCTGCTGTTGTTGTTGTTGTTGTTGAAGGAAAACTACACAGAACCCATTTATTAAACGGCCGTTTGATTGTACGCTGTTTAACTTCCTCTCAGCGAGTTTATTTTTAAGAATTTGAAACGTCATGTAGGTCAACGACAGAGAATAACCAGTCTCGATTATACGACTATATTCCATTGGGTTTATAACACAAATGAATGGCTAAACGATGACACCAGATGTTTGCACACTTTTCAGAACATAGGCTCTTACTTCAAAAAGTTTATCCGCTCTCCAAGTTCAGCAACCTGCCAAACGTGAGCGAGACCTCCCACTTTCTGGCATCCGATGACGATGAGAGCGATAAGTCCGCCAATGACAATGAATGTCTGGAAAGTGTCTGTCCACAATACTGCGCGGAGACCTCCCTGGAAACGTTGTGAGTCAGTGTTAATAATGCTGTTTCTAATATTGAATACTAACAGAGGTCGGGAACACCAAATAGGGCGTCAGTGGTAGCCATGTGGAGAATGAAACACGAGTTTCATGCGGAGAAAGTTCTTTCCAAACTGAAACAATGGTTTAAGCGTTCGCTTGTCCCGTTCGGGTTTAATTCAGTTCATCACGTGAGAACAGTGTGAGAAACCGATTTCTGGCATTCAGAAACATTTCAAAGCCTCACATTTTAAAACTGCTACCAAATAAGCGAATGAGACGAGAATACATAAGAGAAATGAAAATATATTTATGTTTATCCCGTCACGTAATTTTAAAACAATAATAGAAGCATTATATTTGATATGGATTATACTTTACCATTGATGTGTAGAAGGTAACTACACTACCCACGGTGACAATTGACACCCATAGGGGCAGTCCCGTCACTGAAAACAAGATGAAGAATTAACTTTCCAAATTCACACGGCGTTAAATCAATTTCAGGAAACGGAAACGTCAATAATTCTGGATTCACACGTCGATCCTCAGTGCCTCGTTATTGTTGATTAATGATGGGCCTGCTTTGCAATTGGAAGACATGAAAATGATAACAGATTTTAGTACACACAGAGTTACAAACATCGCATTTGCACCAGAGCAAACATCACTTCCGGTCTCGTGTACTGCTGTACATCAACTGGGCGACATTACTGATGTCATTTGCACCGTTGGCGGGATGATACAAAACGACGACAAACATGTTTTTCCTTTTTCAAAGACTCTGAAGAGGTGTAAGATTTTGAAGGAAAGATGGGCCTCATATTTGGGGCGTTGTAGTTAATGGGCTATATTTCTCGATATTTCATTTAATTATAATGTTCAATAAACATCCGCAGACTTCTTGCATATGGAAGTAAGGCTAGGCCTCGAACATGATTCGAATCCGAAGTTAACAGCTGTCTAGAGGACCTAAGCTTTCAGGTTGATCGGTGTGAATCGCTGCAATATTGGTTACGTGGATTTAGGGGTACAACAGGGAGGCGTGCTATTCCCTATTTCTTTTTCCAAAAAGGGAAAATTATCACATTACCGTGATGGGACGGTGGCTTACCTTGATTAAGAGCAAGTGAGGGTGCATACAAAACCACAGCCATATACAGTAACTGAAAGTGAAAAGAGAAATAATACACTGATATCTCAGCAATTAGAATTTAAATCAGTCAAAAAGGATAGTTTTGGCACTGGCAGAACACACACTCACAAATATGTAACGGTTGAGTAAAAATTAGTGAAGGTCTACGTTAAAAATAATGGTCTTTAACTCACTTCTTTGCAATCTCTTGAAAGACAGAGACGCCTGAGAAACGTAAATGTTGATGACAATATATGTGACCCTTATGTGAACCTTCCCATGCATTCTCACACATGATATTGCACGCACCAACACTTTAAACTGTAAGAACTTTCATTATCAAAAATTACCATTCATACTCAAACATCAAATGTATCCAAAGACAATCACACGTGTTGAATATGCTGTTTTCAAGGCGTGGTTTAATGGGGCAGAGTCAACTGTACAAAGTTTAAAGTTTTTCACTGTATGTCTTATTTGGAAATAATTAAACATATTTTGAGATTTAAAGTGACGTCGAGATATCACAGAAATATATTGACGTACACACACAAGTACATTATGTACACACCTAGTTATTATGGATTATTTTTTAAATAAAACAAAACAAAAACAACACAGTTTTAGTGATTTGATTTTCAAGTAGAACACATTGTGTACAATTTTTAAAATACATGTACTGTTGTGTACTTTATTTTGCACGTCAGTGTATTTCCTTGTATGCGAGGGGCGGTGGGGTAGCCTAGTGGTTAAAGCGTTGGCTCGTCACGCCGAAGATCCGGGTTCGATTCCCCACATGGGCACAATGTGTGAAGCCCATTTCTGGTGTCCCCCGCCGTGATATTGCTGGAATATTGCTAAAAGCGGCGTAAAACTAAACTCAGTCAGTCAGTCCTTGTATGCGCTTGAAGAGAAATATTGCTCGAAATGCACTTACCATTTCTATTGTAAATATGACCGAGGCGAGATATCTCGCCGTTCGGCAGAATCTCAGTTCTAAATACTGAAACAAGAAAATAATGACATATCAACCAGGTTTGTGAGTACGGTTCGGTTACATTGCTACATGTATGCTTCGTGTGGTAAGAAAGTTCATGCCATTGACGTTTCCATTTTGGTGAAAGTCAAGATCATGACATCCTCGATAATCTCCAGGGTATACGTTACGATCACTCTCCACTATACCCTGGATGCATCCACGGCTTGGGGCGATGATTTTATTACCTCCCTTTGCTGGCTTTTTATCCAGTCAGGTGCCTACGCTGGGAAGTTGAGCGTACCAATCACTACTCACTTTCGCGTCTTAAATTATCTAACCGTTTAAACTTGGCAACACAATTGATGCAGAGGTACTCTGAAAGAGGTAGAAGGAGTTCTTTCATATATTCTTTTTAAAGTTTCAGATCTGTGAATTTGTCTTTATTATTTCCCCAAAAATCTGAGTGGCACTGCGAACAAACCTTTGCAACTGCGACTGCAATCTTTGTTGACACGGCAAGCTCGGTTGTAACGGCGGCTTAGCTGATTGGCTACTGTGAGAATGCGGAGCCAGCCAAGGGAGGTAATAAAATCATCGCCCGCAAGCCGGGGATGCATCCAGGGTATAGTGGAGAGTGATCGTAACGTATACCCTGGAGATTATCGAGGATGAGATCATGAGTGCTGACAGATTAAGTCTCATAAATGATATTGTGTATACTGGCGAGATTAAAGGACTTAACTTTGCAAAGAGAGTAAAAATAGTAAAAGCAATCTTATATTATATCGGTCATATCTGTATAACAGAATAAATAGACTATCATATGCTCCTTGAAATAGAGTAAATAACACATATACTATAAACGTAAGCATGGTAAGATAAGAAAATAATGCAGGTCTATGAGAGCCACTCATTTGTGGTCGTTTCAAGGGAGACAACTTCATTTAGATTGACTCATCAAGCGTACAGGCCACTAAATATACGACAGATTACCTCCCTTTAGTGTTTGATATACATTTCAGTTGTTGGTTCATTTACATAAAATGTGTGATGGTTATTTTAGTGAGGAGCGGGGATTCAGATCGGTTTTTTTTTTTTTTTAAATCTTCTCAGAAAAATCCAAAATGCCCTAATATGATACAAGAGAATGTCCCATTAAAAGTTGATAGATTCATCAAAATATCTTGCCATTTGTCAAGAGTAAAACAATTGGATACAGTCTAGAATAAAGTATACTTTTGAAATCTGATTTGGTCCAACAAAATACACAAGTTACTCGACAGGAAACCTAATTGTGACATAATCACGGATACGGGGGCGATGACGAAGCTTTGTGGTTAAAGCGTTTCCTGGTCACGAAAAAAATCCGGGTTCGACTCCCACATGGGTACAACGTGTAAATATTATTTCTGGTTACCCCGCCGTGATATTGCTGGAATATTGCTTAACGCGGGATAAGACTCAACTCACTCACTCACGCGGTTCATGTCTATGATATACCATACCAGTATAAACAAGGGAACAGGTCAAAATGGCCACACTACCAAAATGGCCACACTGACCCTTGTCAAAATGGCCACACAGAAAAGTCAAAATGGCCACAACCCCTAGTCAAAATGGCCATACAAAAAAGGCAAAATGGCCATACAAAAAGTCAGAATGGACATACATTATATTTTTTTTCATGTTAATGAGAATTGTTCTTGAAATGATTTCTTACTTTGTGATTGTTACTTATTCAATATTTTGAGATGTTTTTTTGTTCTGTACTTTGAGAGGTTTTCTTATGTAATACTTTGAGCTATTTAGTTACTCTCGCAATGTTTTTTTAGTTTCTTTACTAAGGGCTCTTCACCACACTCCCATCTCATAGAGCCTGGTAAACGTCAGGAGGCACAAGGGGCGATGGGGTAGCCTAGTGGTTAAGGCGTTCGCTCGTCATGCCGAACACCCGGGTTCGATTCCCCACATGGGTACAATGTGTTAAGCCCATTTCTGGTGTCCCCCGCCGTGATATTGCTGGAATATTGCTAAAAGCGGCGTAAAACCAAACTACATACTTTTTTTGTTGTATAAATGTAAATAATATGTATGTACCTCTTATGCTGCAGTTTGCAGCCTGAGTGAATAAAACAAAGTTCAGTATAGTTCTATTTGAGCCCTGTGGAACTTCTCCTCTTGTGTGCCCAGCTGACTGTGGAATGAACTGTATCTGACTTAATGTAACTGATCTGCATGGATGTCATGTAGTAGTAAATAGTACCAAAGTGCAGGTACATGAAGAAAGAACCTACATATATATGTTTTGTTATTTGTTGAAAATATGATTTGTTGATGTGTAATAACAATTTCGTGTTCTTTTCATCCAACAAAGAAGGCTGCATATTTTCTTACCGCGGTTATGTATATTATATGTAAGGTACCTTATGTATTAGATACATCTCCATCATTTGTCGTTTTCTATCATATCTAAATTTTATTACCTGTAATTTTCTAATCAAATAAAATGTAGGTACATTACCTGGTAGGCGCTCGACAACCCCATGTCGTGAAAAAATGGAAGGAAAATATGACACGTAACAGGGTAGGTGAGAATGCCGGCCAGAGCAACCATCCAATACCCGGTCCCAAACAGGTATATCTCCGTGGGTATCCCTAGCACAGTGATGGCAGACATATAGCTAGCGATGAGCGACATCGCAACAGGGAATATCCCCATTTCCCGACCTCCCATCAAAATGTCGTCTGCTGTCGCCTTTCTCGCCTGCCATTTTTCTTTGAGCACATAATACACACCAATGAGAGCCGATGCTGCTAAAAGTCCGATGAAGATGCAGTAATCAAGGATGCTGAAGGTAGCTGCCATGGCTGTGGAAGGTGAAAATTGTATAAAACAAGAACTTCACCGATTTCGTGTTAGGCAAAAGTGTCCATGAATATCTGGGGCTCCTGATCGTTCACAACGAAGCCATTATTCTAGTTCATACCGCCAGCTTCTTCATATCCGTATATTTAAAATAGAGAATTATCAGGTCCCAGTCAGATGTGACGATATCCATGGGGCTGACGTCATAAACGATCGCAATCCGTCCCAAATGAATAAGAATATCCGTACAGTTTGCTTCCTATATGTCTCTATATACGCCGCCGGTTCCTCGATATAACGCAAAGGACGCACGAGGGGTCACGTGGTTCGGGTACATCCCTGGTGTCATAGAATTTACACGTACTTGTAGTGTTACGACTGCTTGTGTTCATAAATACAAATCACAACATCGACTGTAAACAATAGCAGTGACTGTAGTCACAGAAGCATGCGATTGTGTGCATGTTATCCAGGACCACCTTCACCTCGAGTTCACGGCTCTATTAAAAGGCGTGTTATTGGTATACAAACGGCCTTGATGTTAATGGCTGCGTACGAAAACAATGAAACACCTTTCAACCCTTCTATCTGAAGTTCTTTTAAGGATTGAACTTTATCTACGACAGGAGGGATTAATATTTGCGGGTGCTTTTGTTTGATGCTGTCCAATTGAACCCACGAAGATAACAGGTAGAGTACGCCGACACTTGGGGGATTAACGCGAGATTAGTGTCACAGCATCGGTCGACCGATCAGTCGAGTCTGTAGCATTAATCCTGCCAAACAATTAACTGCAAATTATTACTTAATCTGGCATGTCTTATGACAACACATACCTTAAGTATTGCGGTTAGCTATTTGGTCGCCTGTTTGGCCGATACGTACCCTGTATGGAAGCGCACGTAAAATGTAAGAAGTCATCATCCTCATATGGTTTAAACATATTTTTATTCCAAAAGAATCTGGTTTGGTAAACAAGTAGAACTTTGCTTATATCAATACGTCACCAGTACATATATCATTTAAACAAAAATACACGAACTGGATACACAAGACGACAGATTAATCATATATGTGTGTTGTAGGTGCTGATAAACATTGAGCTTGCAGTTACATTTCTTTAATTGTTTACATATATTTGTCAAATCGTTTAGATGTGCATGTATTGATGCAGGGACTCTATTATGTTCTTATTGACATCGTTGTTAACTGGAGGTATTCCATATAACACAGCTTGGAGATTGTGGCCATTTACATAGAAGTAGGTATTATTTCTAATAGCAGTGTATAACTTACATGTAAAAAGATAATGAACAGCATCTCCATTGTGGTATCCACAAGCGCATCCAGGGTTGTTAGAAATGTGTATATTTACTTTATCCGTATTCAAATCACTACAGCCGAGCTTAAGTCGACAGTGTACGATCTGACAGAATCGACTGCCATAATTCAGATCTAGATAATTATTGGATTCATCATTTTTAAGCAGAGATTTGAATTCACCGATTGGCAATGAATTCCAAATTTTAATTGTGACAGTTAGGAACGATTCTTCATATATCATAGTCCTACATTTATTGTTTGTAGCTTAGATTTATTACGGAGATTACATTGACTGTTTTCAGAGACAAATTTAGGAACAAGGTCACAGAGGTAGTCAGGTGGGAGATCGTTATTCATCTTGTAAAAATGTACGAGTTTAATGTCGCGCCCACTTTTTTTAATGGTTTAGACTTTGTTTCTATATATAACCTATGATGACTAGTGCCACGAACTGCGCCGCATGTTGTACGCATGTTGTTAATATTTAATTTGTTCGTTATCATCATTATCATAATCTTATTTGGTCATCATCAAATTGACAAATGCATACTGTGATTATCACAATGTCAACCGCGTCCCTCTAGTCCGTAGAACCATCGACTTGTTCCTGTTGAAGACGCGTCACTCAGCCCCAACGTTGAAACCTCCATGGTACGTCATCACCTACTGGGTTGAGGGTCCCCATGATGTCCGTGACACGTGGAACCACAACACCACCGATGGACCAGAACCACAGACCACGCAAAAGTCTGGCTTCGTAAGATTGTAGTGTGAGTTTAGTTTTACGCCGCACTCAACAATATTCCAGCTATATGGCGGCGGTATGTAAATAATCGAGTCTGGACCAGACAATCCAGTGATCAACAGCATGAGCATCGATCTAGCAATTGGGAACCAATGACATGTGTCAACCAAGTCAGCGAGCCTCACCACCCGATCCCGTTAGTCGCCTCTTACGACAAGCATGGGTTACTGAAGACCAATTCTAACCCGGATCTTCACGGGTCCAGCGTGACGTCGACGTGCCGTCAGTGAACCACACTGAGACTATTCCTGGCGGCCTGTGTAGACACGTAGACACTTGATCTCCTTTGGGTTTAGTCCATTCAAGGATTCGAACCCACGCAGTCGGAAAAACGTACTAATTTGTACTTTACCTAGAACTGTTATCCCAAATATAAGATGACGGTGACGACGTAATTATCATAAACATCATCATCAACAACAGAGCATCCCACATTGTGGCAAGATGTTTTTTAATGTAACCTGGTTAAAGTCCTCACGTCGAAGATCCGGGTACGATTCGATTGTGCATGGGAACAATGACTGATGTCTTTTTCAGGGTCGCTGACTTGGTTAACACATGTCATCGTATCCGAATTTCGTAGATCGATGCTCATGCTGTTGATCACTGGATTGTCTGACCCAGACTCGATTATTTAAAGACCGCAGCCATCTATCTGGTATATTGAATGTTGTTGTTTAACAAACAAACAAACAAACAAACAAAAAGAACACTCATTCGCCCTCCCATCCATCCACCGTCCGACTCACCCAAGATGGTCAGACGATAGTAGATTGCATTGGTGATATAAATAAGATGACAGTGTTTTGTTCTCTAAACGGTTGGATAGAGAATGATACGTTTATTCTAAACAGAGGCTGCTATGAATCTGACGCTCCTGGATGCGAGCTTCTCTCTGTACGGTTATCTATACATCAGAGTTGGCACACCGAATACAGCCCTTCACTGTGACGGTGAGAGATTATCGGACATACCAACTGTTGTTTCCGAATATCCTTAAGGTGTTGCTACTTAAGATAAGAGAGTGGGTCTGCCTATCAACTACACGAATACGGGCGCTGGGAGATCCTGTGTCCTAAATCCCGATAGATTTGGAATGTTCTTGTCTCATCAGGACAGTGTATATATACTTACTGTGTCCTTGTTGTCATAGCAACGGAAATACATAGCTGACATAGGTGACTGCGGAGAATGTCGCTTTCATAGTTGTAACGTTAACTTACAGGAGTAAGCAAGTCGGTTCTGTTTAAACGTCCATTTGAATAAAATCAGGGATCGATCGCGAGAACCCTGATTTATGAACTAATAAATTATTAAATAAACTAATTATAGTTCCGGGTTTCACGTAGTCTGAAAAGTGATTTCGGTTTTACGCCGCTTTTAGTATTTATTCCACGGCGGGGGACCCCAGGAAAGGGCTTCACACATTATTATATGATATGTTTTTTTTATTATATGATATTTATATAGCGCACAAATCCAGGCAACTAGTGCTTGCTCAAGGCGCTGGTATATTTTACCTCGATCATTGGATGTCAGTCTCAACGGCACATCGTGTTATCAATCTCAACTCCCTTGGGATCATACAACTCTTGCAGCCACTAGGCGCACCGAGTTATTATGGCCTTCTCATCCTAACAAGGTACCCATTCACAGCTGGGTGGACTGGGACACATAGTCACAGTACTTTGTCCAAGTTCACTGCACGTTGCTGTACCCGCAACTTGGTGTTTGCACGTATTCATGTGGCCACCATCTGGTCATATACCAACGGATTCGTGGGTTCTTTGAAGTGCACAGGGGTGTGTACTGTACACTAGGGGTTGTGACAACACTGAAAGAGTCTGCACACAAAGTTGACTCCGAGGTTTTTACACCTGGTCACAGGTGGGCTCGATCCCGACACATTGTACCCATGTGGGGAATCGAACCCACATCTTCAGCGTGATGAGCAAACGGTTTAACCACTAAACTACCCCTACACGTGTGTTCAAACCTGAAAACAATATTGTAACGAACCTTGATTCGAACCCACAACCACGCTGAGGCTCCTGGTGTACCAATGGGACACAACTCTGCATAGAGCAATTGCGGCGTCTTATTTGACTACACATATAAGAAAAGGAACAAAATAATTATCACAAAATGAAAAAATAGATTAAACAGTATTATTTTGTGCAAGTTACAAATTCGGGTTCTTGGAATAACATGGTCATAAAAATAATTTTCTCCTATTGTATAACGACAAATTCGAAATCCATGCTTTATCATATATACAAGGTATATCTCGACAAGGATTTGGTATAAATCTCATCTTAATCTCAATTGTTTCTAAAGTGACGCTGTCATATTGTTTCCCCCGTTATTTTAAAGTGTCAAAGTAGTAAGAAAACCATTGATTGGTGTTTGAAAAATTTAAAATACTAGTAATCGAAAATAATCATGAAAAAAATGGACAGAGATTCTCCGATGAAATATTAAATTCATCGGTTTGGTCAAAACTTTGCGTTGCTATGTTGCATGTAAAGTCCTGTTTAAATGATTGACCTTTACATCAGTGAACACATACATTTGAAGATACATGGGCATGTTGAAAAACTATATTTGCCGTGTGTCCACGTGGAGATATCTGACATTTTGTCGGAGGATGTAATCCAGGAATAAACTTTATTTCCGAGTTACCATGGTTACCTTGATGTGTAATTATCCAGGCCTCCCACACCAGCTGAAAGGAACACGCTCCGTGGTTTACAGGGCAATGCTGTTGCCTATATAGTTGAGAAATAGTTTCCAAATTTTGCTAGCCAGTCGCGGTAGCTATGCCTGAAAGTTACTAGCCCACAAAATAATTCACTAGCCCGAAATTTGAATGTAGAAACTAAGCAAAATATTACACATATAGATGAGAATAAGATATGGTCGCCATGACACATGTTTCATCATTAAGTTGCTAATATGATGAACATTTTTATAAGACCATAATCTTGCAGGATTTAAAAGTGTATTATAACTGCGGAGACAGAGAGATATTTGCAAAATGACCAAATGAAAATTCACTAGCCAGTCGGGCCAGAGACTGTGGAGATTTACTGACCTGACAGGACTTTTACTAGCCACGGGCTAGCGGGCCAGTGGCTATTTCGCACACTGCCTATAACAGTGATTTAAAGGGAAATTAACTTCCAAGTTTTATGTTAATGATATATGGATCGTTGGGTTTTTTTTTCTTCGCTGAAATTTTATTTTCCCATACAACAGCCTATATCACAAACTTTCCTGATACAGGGGGCGAGGTTCAGCCTGAGTCGAATATATGTTATGTAATGGAGATAGGGACGCGTGCGTGTGCTGTATTAAACTAATGTTTAACAAGAACTTAGTTTTTAGATTAATATTTTTCAAAATTGTTACTTTTTAGTAATCTAACAATAACTTTCTTAATTTGTACCAATTGGCAACCTGTAGTTTCACTTTCAGTTGTCCATTTGAGGAACCGTTTAAGTTTGTTTACATGTATGTCGATCAGTCTGTCGATTTGCGCTCTAACCAGATACCATATAGTATATAGATGGGCTCCGCTCTAACATATATATATATATATGTATATATGTGTGTGTGTGTGTATGTGTGTGTATGTATGTATGTATATATGTATATATGTCTATATATATATATATATATATATACAGGGATACTCTACAACAGGGCCTTATATAGTCTCCCTGATCTATCATTAGTAACTTCCCAATGTAGTTACACAATCAGATTATTTGTTTGTTACTCACATTTTGGTTTCAGAACGGAATTAATGTGAACAATTCAGGGTTTATTTTCCTGTTAGGTTGCATTTATAACACAATTACACTTTCCACTATGAGACGACCACATTCACAGGATATCCTCAGCCTCGTTGTCGTTCACAGCGTCATAAATGTAGAGTGTACTATTTGGTCAACAACTATTATTGATAATGTGGTAACAATATTCGTGCTGTCGTATAGACACCGACATTCTTTAACTCAATTTATGTCTTTTTCAAATTGCAATTTTTCTTATTTCGATTTCTATGTATGTAATATTTTCACGGTATTCCATAATCTTAGTAAGCGTTGTGTGTGTTTATATGATAGTAGTTGTTTTACAAATAGTTGTAACTAGCTTCCGGTATTCCTGGGGAATTCCCACACGCCCTTTCCAAACTGATGTTTCACGAATTCACACCTTCCTGAGTCAACAATATAGTATGTCTGGTAAATGTCGACAGGGAGGGAAGAGCGGTGGAGATGTCTCTGAAAGAAATATTAACGACTTGGAATGAAGCAATAATTCATTTTGAAAGTGGAAGATATGAAGAAGCCATTGATAGATTTCGACAAATCACCGACCCATCGGCTAAAATCCTTTTCAACATTGGTGTGGCATATCTGACCGGGGCAATACCTCGTCACGACCAGGCTTTGAAGGTGAGGGCAACTGAAACTATTTTTTTAATTTGATTCGTCTAAGGTTAGCGGCTGACAACAGTGTCGTTGGTCTGAATTTTACATTGATCACAGTGAAATATGAAGTCCTGGGCGGTGGGGTAGCCTAGTGGTTAAAGCGTTGGCTCGTCACGGCGAAGACCCGGGTTCGAATCCCCAGATGGGTACAATGTGCGAAGCCCATTTGTGGTGTCCCCCGCCGTAATGTTGCTGGAATATTGCTAAAAGCGGCGTAAAAACCAAACTCAGTAAGGCAGTGAAATATGTGGAGAATTCGGTGTTTTAGAATGTTCCCTTTTTACCTACCTCTTAAAAAGACTGCTGACTAAACATCAATAGTCTTACACCAAAAACTGTAAAGTGGGGGTAAAGTAAATAATTTTCTAAGATCTCAAATTGGCTATTTGATACGAAAATAGTTGGATCTGTGTTACATGGGAGCAAATTAATATTCAACATCATATGCTTTTGTCAGAAACAGTATAAGGACCGCAGTAACAAATATACTAATGCCACAATATATCGCAGCCTGCAGCATTGGATAAAATATTACTTGCACAATGTTAAAGATAAGGTGATTGCATTGTGGATGGTTATAACTTTGCTTTTTAAATCAGTGTATGACTTCTTAAGTGTAGAGCTGAAATTGTCGACCTTGCTGATATTAGTGAAACAATTGGCATACTGTAAAATATGGAGTGGAGTCTTGGAGTGGAGTCTGGAGTATAAGTGCACTTGTCACTTCTGTAAACACTGGTTACTGTCTAGAATATGCCATTAATAGTTCTTCCCAGGTGTCGTTTATACCCCCGGAATCACCGGTTTCAAAAGTAAATATCTTATCTTACTCATCTTAGAGATTAGTCTTTCTTGTTTACAGCTCTCGTAGAAATGTTTGTTAATGCTTGTCAGTTTACTCCAAACTTATTAATAAATCGTCACAAATTCCAACTCTGTGCAATTATACTTTCATTTGTAGACAGCAACGTAATCGAGATTGTAAAAATGTTTACATGGCAATCCTCTGCAGCATTCCTTTAGCTCTCTGCCATTCTGAGGGCAGATTGTATCAGTGATGTGTTTCCTCTAATCTGTACATTCCAGTGGACTGCCCATACATAACCTGACAGAAAGTCAAGATTTCCGAAGCCATAGAGAGCTGATGAAACTCACTAACAATCAGCTTGCAAAATATTCTGCTGCAGTTATTTTACGGATGTAGAGAGATGGCTATTTCTGAACTAAAAGCAAAACAATTATGACTTTGGAACAGTTACTTTTGCCATCACTGACAATAAATCCAGTTCTTGAATAATATAGTGCTATGTATCTTATGTAATCAATTTCTTTGTTTAGTAAGAAATAAATAATTCATGTAATAATAACTGTTATATTCCCTGATGATTAGTATGTCTTAGCATAGACCCAATTTATGTACATTTTCCCTTACTATGGCTTCCTCTACACAAATTTGAATTTACATGTGACAATGTTATATATGTCGTTTTTTGGCTAATATATAATGCCATTATCAATATTTTGTTTACAGTTTGTAAATAATTTACATGCTTCTCCATCCATTCATCCATCCTTCCATCTATTCATATACATTTTTCTTCTTGATGGTAGCGTGATACTGTTACAGAATGAATAATTGATATGTGTATACAAAATGCCTCCTGCCGTCTGATAAAACTGATAACACCAACCAGCTACAGATGTAAAATGAATGTGCTTGTATAGCTACCCTTATGATCAAAACAAAACAAACTTGGTCACCTAAATATTTACATTAAGACTCCACTCCACTCCAAGACTCCACTCCATGTTTTACAGTATGCCGAAACAATTACCGCCCGATACTATAGAACTATCGGGTAGACCACAGTTTATAACAGACCCGTTAAAGACCCGTGAAGGTCCGGGTTAGAATACTGATCTTCAGTAACCCATGCTTGTCGTAAGAGGCGACTAACGGGATCGGGTGGTCAGGCTCGCTGACTTGGTTGACACATGTCATCGGTTCCCAATTGCTTAGATCGATGCTCATGCTGTTGATCACTGGATTGTCTGGTCCAGACCGATTATATAAAGACCACCGCCATATAGCTGGAATAAATGCTGAATGTTGTTGTTTAACAAACAAAGAAAAAGAACACTCATTCGCCCTCTCGTCCATCCAACGTCCGACTCACCCAAGATGGTCAGACGATAGTAGATTGCATTGGTGATATAAATAAGATGACTGTGTTTTGTTCTCTAAAACGGTTGGATAGAGAATGAAACAGAGGCTGCTATGAATCTGGCAGCTCCTGGGTATGAGCTTCTCTCTGTACGGTTATCTATATGTCAGAGTTGGCATACAGAATACAGCCTTTCACTGTGACGGTGAGAGATTATCGGACATACCCACTGTTGTTTCTGAATATCCTTATGGTGTTGCTACTTAAAGATAAGAGAGCGGGTCTCCTATGCTGTGTAAAACTCACTCACTCACTCGATCTCACTTCAACCTTAGGTCGTAAATGTTGTAGATGTTGTGACATTTAGTGAAGGGTCCAGTGTTTAAGCACTTATATTCTAGTTGTATTATACAAACGTTATGTTCAGCTCGATTGAAGCTATTTATATATGGGTTGGTCTCCTGGTGCAGTTGATTGCTCTCATTATGAAGTTGTATGCCAATAATCACTCAGTGCATGTTGATGAAAGATTAATGAGCTGTCCAGCTGTAGTGACAACCTGATTTATTGGCTCGGGACATAACTAATGCTTATGTTTGATATAATGCACATGCGCATAAAACCAGAATTACCTCCCTTACCTTAATATGTTAATGGCTGAAGTTCAAAACAGACATATTTGTTTAGGCTGAAAAGTAAGGCTGTAACGATTCACTCACATATTTGGTGAATCGAACCGTAGCCCTACATGAATTCAATTCTTTATTCGTGGTCACCAGAACCGAATATTCATGAATATTTACAATTTTTAAGGGAGTGTGTTTTGCTTGAACCCTTATGTCCTTTTTCAAAATGAGATATGCAAGAATGCATTATGTACTAGCCTTGTAGTAGCGCAAATCATGTTAGTTTGCCAAGGCTGCACATGGTACTGTCATCTATAACTATTACATACAAAATTTGAGTGTCATGAGATGACTGGTTATTGCTGTGACAAATTAACACTGTCAACATGGGCATTCAATATTGTGCATCAGTCACTTAACTACGATATTGTATTCGTGAATAATTATTCACATTCGTTACCCAATATTCGTCATACGTATCATATTCACAACATAGTGAATTCGTTACAGCCCTACTGAAAAGTATGACATATCATTCTGATTTGTAAGAACAAAAAACAACATGGAGATCAATCTCTGAAAATAAAATTTATTTAATTCCAATTAGATTAATTTAAACATCATGCATAGTGATCTTCTCTATGTCATGAACTTGAATAAACAATAATTCACAGGAGATAATGAAGTTCTGTTTAACCTGTTAACATCTGACAAGCATAGATGGCTAGTGCAGTTTTTTGGCAGATTGGAAAATAGTAAAATTGCAAACATGATACTGATAGCAGAGATTATTCATTTGACAGTTCTGATGGATACTTTGTGATGTGATGTGAAACTATTTGTGGTACCTACATTACATTGTAGAAATGGGGTTTTCAGAATTATAGGGATTTGGTTGATATTCAGATCCCTGTCTTAAGCAAATGGCAGCATATATTCCAAAATTGGAATTATATTGTTCCATATTCAGTGAATCAAAGCGTATGATATCCATCAATGAATCTTGCTTGTATTCATGATCTCTAAAATCGACTCATTCATCATGTTCATAATTATTTTTAAAAGGAGTGTTTATTTCCTTGAATTATGGTGTTATTTATCAAAACGAGATATGTTATATAGAATATATCCAAGACAGACAGGATAATAGCCAACACTTTTATATATTTAATTTGACGTAAATGGATTATTGGTAATTTTCATGATAAATTTACACTGTCAACATGGTCAAACCTTGTCAAATAATTATTTTACTGGCATGGCAAAGGTAATTAGTTTCATTTACTGATTCAATTATGGATACGAGCATTTTATAGTATTCACTGTATACATGTATTGTAATATTCTTCGGGGAATTTAACTTTCGATTGTTGATATAAATACTGTAGAATAAAAATTGTATTCTTTTACTGAATTTATTGAATAATACATCAACGGCTGACATGTTCTTGCATTCATTATAAGGGTAATGCTATTTTTGAGGGCATTATCATTTGCAGAAACCAGGGTCTTCCATTAACTGCCCGACGAAGGAGGGCAGTTGAAAAACCGAGGTCTTCTGCAAATGATAATGCCCTCAAATATAGCGATTAATATGCTAAAATAGATGGAATTTTGTTGAAAGAAAAAGCCAAGCCAATAGCTATTTAAAGCGGGGTCGAGGTTGCTATGACTATTGCCCCAGAATATCTGCCAGTCAAAAGCCAAGCTTCGAATGAACCGGCTTCCACTATGGCGTCACTTGACAACAAGTGCTGATAGTGGCCCGTCGTTACGGTTGAGTGGTCCAATATCATTTGCAGCGGCTCGCAAATTTCTGATAATAGGAGGTCCGTTTCATGATAATTCCATGTGTTTTAGCTATAATATCCATTATTCATATATTGATGTATTCAATATATAGTTAAAGTATTCACCTCCAGGTGGATTTGTTACAGCACAAGTAAATTATATTTTTGTTATATCAGGGCCAATAAAGAGAATGAAGAAGAAGATACATTAACGAATATTTTTGCCTGTTGAGTGTGTTATACAATGTTAATGAGGGAAATAAAAGCTTTAAAAATACCCAATTTTGAACAAAATAACAGATTTCCAAGTTGCCTACAATGGACCTTAGTCTGGAATCCTAAATAATTTTTTTCCCTTTATTCAGAGATGTTTTTGGGCAGTATGCATTCATTGCATCATAATTATAAGGTGAATAAACACAATCTTCTCTCAATCTATTTTTAGCCAATACCCACGTTGGGAGTTTCATTTTGGATTACTATAAGCCAAATGTGCATTTAGTTTTTACATACTTTTCCATTGCAGTTTCTATTTGTATTTTTAATCCATTTTGTCTTGTTTTTCAGTGGTTCTCTGATGCCATTACCAAAGATCCATTTTTGGCGGTGGCCTATTTTCAAAGAGGATGCACGTATCTGAAACTGAAAAGGTGAATTTTATAGCCCAACAAAGTTGGTTCACTTTTTGAAAGTGGTGTGTGGTCAGTTATCCACCCATTGCCAGTATATTTTCGGTATCTCCTTTGAAACCACAAAGTCTGCAAGGGATGGCCAAAGAGTTCTGGGATCCACCAGAGTTGAACATATATCACTTGCTTTGCTGACAGTAGAATTGGTCTCCAGCAACCCATGCTTTATCTCAGGTTGACAGGTTTCGATTATGTACCTCATCATATGCCGTAACTGTCTAGTTCAAAATTGTAAATTGCTGAGTGTGGGATGAAACAATAAACAAATTTGTGTTTTCATATATGCAAAACACCTGGTCACTTTGATGCCTGAAGAAACATGGAGACTGGTTATGTATTTGGTTCAAATTCTGCCTGTAAGAAAAGTTGAATTGGTGCGGATAGTTGGCCTAATGATTAAAAGAGTATAAGCTAGGTCATGCTGAAGCCCAGTTTGATTCCCACATGATTTCCAATGATGACATTTCTGGTGTTCCAAGCCATTGATATTGCTAAGTGTATTGCAAAGGGTGCGTAGCCCCCCAACTCACTTGCTCACTCATTGCAAGTTAGTATGATGGAGCTCCATTGAATCCCCACAAAAGCTGTGCATAGTCTGTCCTCTCTAAGTTAGTGTACTCCACTCGTTTGAGCTCCAGTGGAACAGGACCGATTTCTGGTGTCCCCCGTTGTGATATTGCTGAAATATTGCTAAAAACCTTTTAAGTGTGCAATATGCATCCTTCATAGTTAGGCTCAGAATTTGTCTTATAGGTTAGCCGTATCTTGCATTGTGTACCAACAGTGCAGTGTTTCAAGGACAAGGGACACAACTCTAGATTGATTATCGTGATTTTGCAAGAAATTTTACTACGCCTCGTTGACTGAATGTTTTTGTGATGTAGTACTGTCATATTGACCCACATGAGTTTTTAAGATTATTTATTTTCAAACATTGTGTAGTCTCAAAATAATTTTGTGTGTATTATATTTGTAATATTTGTAAATTTGTATTATTTCTTTTTCTAATTTTAAAGAAAATAGGGCCAGTGGATCCATGATCAAAGAAACAAACAGGGATAAAAAACAATGGCCATATTACATGTATATTTTTTAAGTATACACAGAATAAACATATATTTTTGTTTTTTTCTTCTTTTCTTTTTCATGGCAAAGAGGGAATTTGTAAATCAGTTGAAAAAGATTTGTCTCATCACAAGTGACAATGATTGTTTCAGGTACAGGGAGGCGGAGGCCGACTTTCGGAGTACATTGGACAAAATGAGAGGCAGCAATCTGATTGACTACAGGCAGCTTGGACTTCCCATCAAACTGTACACAAGCCAGGTGACCGCTTGAGCGCTTGTTAGACGACAGCCATTTTGTTTGTGACTTTGTCTCTGTGATGATATCGAAATTTCTCCCTCTTTAACCCCTGACAGAATTGTCTACCTGATGCCTGTTGGGAAAGGCCACCAGACTGGATATGGTTGTCAGATGTGACGTGGGTGATTGCATGTCCCTGTAACCAGATTGTTGGATGGTGCTCATTACGGCTGCGCAAATAACGGTTATTGTATGAAACAATACATATTGCGATACGCTGACCGAAAACTGGTATTTTGACTTGTTTTCGGAAAACTTCGTAACACTCGGAAATCTTTGGATATTTTCTTGTTTCATTTGTGCCAAATATTGTTTACATTTTTATTTTGTCATGATTAAAGGTTGTTATTAAAGCTTAATCAAACATTGATTTTGTTGTGGTTTTGCTCTATAGATCAAGCATTATCTTGATTATAAGTAGTTTTTTTGTTTAGAAATCTTCATGTATTACAATGTATATTGCAATACATATCACAATATATGCTTTCGCATCGCAACATATCGCAATATGAAAATTCTCTGAAATACCCAACCCTAGTGCTCATGATATTGACCATTGGTTTTGTTTGGTCTAGGACAGGATACTTTCGAGCAGTTCTGCCCTGGATACTGAGGGTGATCCTAGGTGGCCGAGATAACTAGTGGCAAATCTTGACTCACATAAGATGTTGCCATCAGTTGAATTCTGAAACCAGTCGTCCGTTTTTGAAATTTTAGAATGTTCAGTGAAATTTTTGGGGCTGTGGGGTAGCCTAATGGTTAAAGCGTTGGCTCGTCACGCCGAAGACCCGGGTTCGAATCCCCACATGGGTACAATGTGTGAAGCCCATTTCTGGTGTCCCCCGTCATGATGTTGCAGGAATATTGCTAAAAGTGGCGTAAAACCAAACTCAGTCAGTCAGTGAAATTTTCAATGCTAATGATGTGTTTCTGCGTCCAAGCTTGTTCATGAAGATACCATGTCGCTATTTAGTTTAAACAACCATTGACTTGCATGCTGAAAATACCTGGAGTATAGAGCTCATTGTCTTCTCTTCTGATATCCACGGTAATGTTTATACATGTTTTCGCTCCGTTACTGTCCTACTTCTCTGTAGTGTGTTTCTGTTCCTCTGTTACAGGTGCTGATGAACCTGGCTGTGGCGTTACAGAGCCAGTCTGACACACAGGGAGTGTGTGAATGTGTTCAGAATGCATCTCGACTCGTGAAGGATCCACAACATGAACGTGCCGTCATCGCTGCCTTGTCCTCCTTGCCGGTGGGTGTTTGCAGAAATACATGCAAACTGACGGGGTAGTAACAGTAGTAGTATCAGAGGTACAGAATGAGGTAGTAACAGTAGTAGCTTCAGAGGTAGAGAATGGGATAGTAACAGAAGGAACAGGAGGAGTAGCAGCAGTGGTAGTAACAGTGGTAGTAACAGTAGTGGTAGCAGCAGTGGTAGTAACAGTAGTAGTAGCAGTGGTAGTAACAGCAGTGGTAGTAACAGTAGTGGTAGCAGCAGTGGTAGTAACAGTAGTGGTAGTAACAGTGGTGGTAGCAGCAGTGGTAGCAGGGTAGTAGCAGTGGTAGTAGCAGCAGTAGTAGCAGTGGTAGTAACAGTAGTGGTAGCAGCAGTGGTAGTAACAGTAGTGGTAGCAGCAGTGGTAGTAACAGTAGTGGTAGTAACAGTAGTGGTAGTAACAGTAGTGGTAGTAACAGTAGTGGTAGTAACAGTAGTGGTAGCAGCAGTGGTAGTAACAGTAGTGGTAGTAGCAGCAGTGGTAGTAACAGTAGTGGTAGCAGCAGTGGTAGTAACAGTGGTGGTAGCAGTGGTAGTAACAGTAGTGGTAGTAGCAGTGGTAGTAACAGTAGTGGTAGCAGCAGTGGTAGTAACAGTAGTGGTAGTAGCAGTGGTAGTAACAGTAGTGGTAGCAGCAGTGGTAGTAACAGTAGTGGTAGTGGTAGTAACAGCAGTGGTAGTAACAGTAGTGGTAGCAGCAGTGGTAGTAACGGTGGTGGTAGTAGCGGCCAGTGGTGGCAGCAGTGGTAGTAAGCAGCGGTGGTAGTAACAGTAGTGGTTAGCAGTAACAGTAGTGGTAGTAACAGTAGTGGCAGCAGTGTAATGGTAGCAGCAGTGGTGGTAACAGTAGTGGTAGTAACAGCGGTGGTAGTACACGGTGGTAGTAACAGTAGTAGGTGGTAACAGTAGTGGTGGTAGCAGTGGTAGCAGTGGTGGTAGTAACAGTAGTGGTGGCAGCGGTGGTAGTAACAGTGAGCGTGGTAGCAAGTGGTAACAGTAGTGGTAGCAGCAGTAACGGTGGTAGCAGCAGTGGTAGTAACAGTAGTGGTAGCAGCGGTGGTAGTAACAGTGGTGGTAGCAGTGGTAGTGGTAGCAGGTTGGTGTAAGTGGTGGTAGCAGTGGTGGTGGCAGCGGTGGTGGTAGCGGCGGTAGTGGTGGCAGCGGTGGTGGTAGTAACGGTGGTGGTGGCAAGCGGCGGTGGTGGTAGCAACGTAGTGGTGGTAACGGTGGTGGTGGTAACGGTGGTGGCAGTAACGGTGGTGGTGGCAGTGGTGGTAACAGTGGTGGCGGCAGTGGTAGTAACAGTAGTGGTAGCAACAGTGGTAGTAACAGTAGTGGTAGCAGCGGTGGTGGTAACAGTAGTGGTAGTAGCAGCAGGTAGTAACGAGTGAGTGGTGGCAGCAGTGGTAGTAACGGTAGTGGTGGTAACAGAAGTGGTAGCAGCAGTAGTAGTAACAGTAGTGGTGGCGGTGGTAGTAGTAGCAGTAAGTGGCAGGTAGTAACAGTGGTAGCAGCAGTAAGTGTAGCAGTAACAGTGGTAGTAACAGCAGTGGTAGTAACAGCAGGTGGTAGCAGTAGTGGTAGTAGCAGTGGTGGTAACAGTAGTGGCAGTAGCAGTGGTAGCAATTGGTAGTAGTAACAGTAGTGGTAGCGGTAGTGGTAGTAGCAGTTGTGGTAGTAGCAGTAGTAGTAACAGTAGTAGTAGTAGTAGTAGTAGTAGCATAGTGGTAGTAGCAGTAGTAGTAGCAACAGCAGGTAGTTGCAGCAGTAGTAGTAGTACCGGTAGTAGTGGTAGTAGTAGTAGTAGCAGCAGCAGTACGGTAAGTAGCAGCGAAAGAGTGGTAGTAGCAGTGAGTAGTATTACCAGTAGTAGTAGTAGTAGCAGTACTAGTAGCAGTTGTGGTAGTAGTAGTAGTAACAGTAGTAGCAGCAGTAGTAGTAGTAGCAGCAGTAGTAGTAGCAGTTGTGGTAGTAGTAGTACCAGTAGTAGTAGTAGTAGTACTTGTAGTACTAGTAGCAGTTGTGGCAGTGGTATTAGCAGTAGCAAGTAGTAGTAGTAGTAGTAGTAGTACCAGTAGCAGCAGCAGTAGTTAAAATCTGAAGTTACTCTTCTGTAGTGAATATGCACAAACAGAAACAACAGTTTAATCTGAATTATTTCCATAACTTGATTAATATGATTTAACAAAATCTCATCAGCCCAAAATTGTGTATGTGAGTACATACTTTATGAATAAAAAAATTATCAGGAGTTTTGAAGACATGACCATGTTCAGAGCTCCAGATATATACGATTTAGCTCATGTGGGTACTGTACCCACTGTATTTTTTTGGAGTGGGTAATGTGAATGTTGAGTGGGTATTTCATTTTCCGTTACCCACTGCTTTCAAATATGTGCCTATTTCAGTCATATTTCACTAACATAAGTATTATGTCATTGAGTAAGTTTACTAAGCAGGTATGTTCTGCCTTATGTCATACCTAATCAAAACCAAGTTAAATATAATGGAAATGCTTTCATAAAAAATCACTCATCCTATACTGACAGTACAACACTTGTCCTATACTAACAGTACAACTTGATAGCAATCAATGTCTTTTTCATTACGCAAGCGATTATTATAAATATATTCTGTATGCATTTGTTTTAAACTTTTTGCGTATCTAACATTTTAAATGCGTAATTGGTTAAGCAACAATTATTTTTCAATGCGTAATTGGAAATTGTCTATGCGTATTTTACCCGGATACGCAGCTTATCTGGTCCTCTGATGTTTTAGTTATTTTTAATGGGCTAAAAAGTTACAAAGTGCTGACTCACAAAATATTCTGTTGCAGACCCCTAATCTGTCACTGCTGGAACTCACGGTAAAGGAGTCGGTTTTCCGTCCGTCAAAGTCACTTGTTGCCAACCTACAGAAGAAAGATTTCCTGGGCAAGGCAAAGGTAGGACTGTTTGGTCAGATTCGACTAAATATGCTGAATTAATAAACGAACATCTTGTAGTCGGCTTAAGAATACAAAACATTCCATAATAAATCTGGTTTAAAGGACAACTTCATCAACTCCGAGGGCAGAGGGTACCCTGATTAAGATGATCCTTTGACTGTAAAGCTCTTAAATTAATTAAAACAAATGAATCAGATTCTTCGCCTACCTTACTTCAGTATTTGAAATTTACGGCCACCAATCAATACACAAAATGGCGCCATGTTCTGAAGATTACGGAAGACAGCCATGTTTTTATTGCACATGTTCAGATCGTGTACGTGTTGGTAATTTGTGTCTTTCACAATTGCTTTATAGGCAAGTATAAATAAGCATCGATTTCGAGGGTTTTTACAGGGGGTTGCATTGCACTTGAGTTCACTTTAAAGACATCAATATACACTTTTTGATGCCAAATTTCTGTGTTCTCTGCAGTAGCATGGATGGAATAATATTTAACAGTGGCGTAAAACAAGACTCATTCACAATGTGTTTTGTATGACTGACAGGTGGTGTCGTCGATATCCCCACATGACAAGTTTGTTGGATTTGAAGGTGCCAGGAAGGTGAGAAAACTTCATGTACATTGATAAGTACTTTCCACTGAAATCATACCATCTTTAATACCTCTGTCTTTGACAAAATGCCTACTCAAAGTATGCTGAACTGCTATAGAAACGCAACTTACTTTTGTTTAAAACATGCGCTTCAAATAAATATATTTTAGGTTTCCCATGAACAAAAAAAAAGTTTCCCATGATTAAACCCATCACACAAAAATCCAAGATGGTTTTGCCGTTGTTTCCTAGTTATTCTTGACCATATTGCCTGAATGCCATCATTTTCATGCTTTTGGTCACATGTTTTGTGCATGATTTTTCCCCGATTCACACAAAAATGCGTGCATTTCCCTTCAGTTAAATCCTTTAAAAGGCAGGTCATTCAGAAAACACCACTGCCACTACAAAATCGACTTGAAGAACGCTGAAAAAATGTCACGTCTGAAACGCGATACCAACCAGCAATGAGAGTTGGATGCGGCGCTTATTGGAATGATGCTGACCGGATCAACAGCAAAACTTTAGAGATTTTGCGGTGGACAGGTCCGCCGGATGTCTCGTGACATCAGTCACCTGAGCGTCTCTGCAAGGTATCATCAAACTGAAATGTTCAAGACTGGCCATGCTCAGGACACTGTTCATCCATCTGCATATTTGGCTTTTATATACTGAACAGCAGAAGTGATCATGAATGCTTTTTTAAAATTGTGTGCTCAACTTTCATTACAGATAAGTATTTCCCCCAAATATTTCTGATTCTTGAAGCTTTCAGTATATTTGCCAGATTTTTCTCCAAGGGCAGGTAACTCTCACCTGCTCCTACACAACTGCTAATAATGCATGTCTTGTCATTACAGGTTCTCTGAGTGTTGAATATGACGGGGATATTAAGCTCTAGATCATTTTACTGATGTGTAGAGATTGAGGAATTGCTTCATTTCTGTCCAAACCTGTAGCTTATTTCATTTATCGTCCTATATTGTTTGTGAAATGTTTGATTTGTAAACTGACAGCGGCAAATTCGGCAAGTTTAACAAATCACCTGATGATGGTGACAGAATACACTCCAAAACCTCATTTTCCTCAAAGTAAAGAGGTTGACATCCATTAACACTTACACATTGATAGAAAGTATATATCTGTGTTTGAAATAGAATGTGAAAGTTAAGTGAACATGTTAGTGATAAGATTAAGAGTTCAAACACATGGCAGAAGACCTCAAGGGCACCTCAATCGGTTAGTTTCCAAATTCTATGTATGCTGTTCTTAGATGGTTTTATATATAGAAACCGGCATATATTAATTTCAGTCTTTTGCATTTTTTCATACAGTGCCATTCCACCCCAGCGTCTCCAAATCCATCCAGAAAAGGTGACCATCTAAGTGTCGACAAAATCAAGGCCATGAAGGGGTCCTTGACCCCTCCACCTCCGACCCGACCTGCTCCAAATCCATCAAGAAACAGCGACCCTCTAAGTGTCAACAGTGTCAAGGCTATGAAGGGGTCCTTGACCCCTCCACCTCCAACCCGACCTGCTCCAAATCCATCCAGTAAAAGTGACCATCTAAGTGTCGACAATATCAAAGCCATGAAGGGGTCCTTGACCGCTCCACCTCCGACCCGACCTCCTCCAGATCCATCCACTAAAAGTGACTGTCTTAGTGTCAACAATGTCAAGGCCATGAAGGGGTCCCTGACCCCACCACCTCCGACCCGACCTGCTCCAGGTCCGTCCACTAAAAGTGACCATCTTAGTGTCGACAATGTCCAGGCCATGAAGGAGTCAACCCCTCCACCCCCGACCCGACCTCCCCCTGCACTGCCACCTGATGCTATCAAGGACTTCAACAGTAAATATCTCAAAACAAGTTCGGGAATAAATGGCCATGTAAGGTCAAGTTCAGGTGAAAGGTCAAGGCCAATTCCACCAAGTCGTACTCCACCCGTTTTGAAAAATGAAACGGCTTCAGTGAAGAGAGACAAACCGCCACGGCCACCCCCACCAGTGCTAAAGCGGAGAGTTTAGCTGTGTTTATATTCTTGTTTCAACAGTCATAACTGTAGATGATCATCCATGGTTTGTTTTTACTCGTAGGCATGAATCAGTTGATTTATTGCTTATAGCTAGTCAGAAATATACTTACTGTGATGCTATTGCCTTGAAGCAGGTCAAGATTTTCCTCAGTAGGAAATAGATTTACAGGTTCTAGCCTCTGTAATGAAATGGCTATAATTCAGCCATGTTTTATCCACTGAATTCAGTTTTAAGGTATCACCTCAAAAGTGTGAATTTGAAGTTAATGGTTAATGGGGATGGTTAGCCGGGTGGTTAAAGCGTTCACCAATCATGCCGAAGACCCTGGTTCGATTCCCCATACCATGTGTGAAGCCCATGTCTGGAATCCCCTGCCATGATATTGCTGGAATATTGCTGGAATATTGCTGAAAGAGGCATAAAACCATACTCACTATAAATTCTGATATATGCGCTACGTAAAGTTGCGTCCCTTGTGCATGCCAAAAAACTTTGATTTTGGTTTCGAATCTCAGTTGACTTGATAATGTTTCTATGTTTGTCACAAGATACCAGTGTTTGAAGTGGTGAACATTTGCAAGACTCTGATATATCACTTCAGTCTTACCTCTAGAGCTGACTTGGTTGACACGTCATCGTATCCCAATTGCGTAGATCAATGCTCATGCTGTTGATCACCGGGTTAGCTGGGTCAGACTTGATTATTAACAGACCGCTGCCATATAGCGGGAATATTTCAGAGTGGGACGTTAAGCAACAATCAATCAATCAATCAATCAATCAATGTTTTCTCGGGAAGTAGGCTGATACAGGGTGGTATAATTAGCAAACTATTTCAAGCTCCATTCATTAGGGCGGTGGGGTAGCCTAGTGGTTAAAGCGTTGGCTCGTCACACCGAAGACCCAGGTTCGAATCCCCACGTGGTTACAATGTGTGAAGCCCATTTCTGGTGTCCCCGGCCGTGATGTTGCTGGAATATTTGCTAAAAGTGGCGTAAAACCAAACTCAGTCAGTCAGTCAAGCTCCATTCAGACCAGCTACCTCACTCATTGTTTATATGATCTCCACTCAATTCTTACTTGGTTGACAGGTTGATGCTCATGCTGTTGATCACTGGATTGTCTGGTCCAGCCTTGATCACTTACAGACCGCCGCCATATAGCTGGAATATTGCTGACTGTGACAGTAAACAACTAGCAAACTAACAATTGTGAACATTAAACCCTACCATGAAAACCCCATTTACCTTAACATCATTGGGTTTATTCAAATGTAATGGATCAGTACAAATTTTAACCAGTGCAGGGCCTGTGATTTAAGAAGCAATTATTTTTTCCGTTGTGGTTTAATATTTATCGTTATTGCTCAAGTTGACAACAGTCCCACATACATGTAGACAAGAACCTAGTCTTGATTGTAATACTCAGAGCTAATCATTCAATAATAGTTTTGAAATGTGTTTTGTACCCACTGCTACATTTGCATGTCAGCAGGTTGTTACCTTGTCGTGCAGGGTTGTTTCCCTTTGTTGTAGAGTTATGTCCCTTTGTTGTAGAGTTATGTCCCTTTGTTGTAGAGTTATGTCCCTTTTATGTAGGATTGAGGTGTCATGCCTAATTATATATTTTAAGAGTGAGTGTTTGTTCTTATTCAGTGGTTCTTATTCAGAGGCGACTAACAGGATTGTGATCGGTCTCAGTGACTTTGTTGATGTATGTCATCGTATCTCAGTTGCTCATGAAGCCAATCATTAGATTATCTGGTTCAGACCCGAAAATCATATAGGCGGGAAAAATTGCTTGTGCCACATCACAACAAACGAAAAAAACATCCAAACATTTATTTCAGGGACAGGTTTCTGAGACCTTGTTAGACATTCAACCCAAATATACGTTTTACCATATAGGACATTTTTTTCGGTTGTTCATAAACCTTTTTTGCTTATTTTGATGTTTCAGTTTTACCCATAGTTGTCAGTGTCTAATGGGTTTGGTTTTTTAATAGTTTTTGTGGTCTGTAATCATCAGATTAAAAACAAACTGTGCTATAAGGTTTTCACATTATGCAAATGTATGTATGCATATATCAGTGATTTAAAATGCCCCTTGTTTCTATGGCGATACATGGTAACCAAGGGTGATTGTACCACAGATGTTTACCACAGATGTTCATTTCATAAGACCTACTGTATCAGTGGTGACGGACAGAAATACACAATCATATCACAATTTAATGTTGCTGTGAATAGCTGCAAAATTGCTGATACGGCTTAAAGCAACATTCACTCACTCACTCATTCGTAGTTTAATGGCCTGGGTAGTTTGGCTTTGTAACCTAATTGTCAGCATGATGTCATACTCTAATTGTCAGCATGATGTCATACTCTAATTGTAAGCATGATGTCATGCTCTAATTGTCAGCATGATGTCATACTCTAATTGTCAGCATGATGTCATACTCTAATTGTCAGCATGATGTCATACTCTAATTGTAAGCATGATGTCATGCTCTAATTGTCAGCATGATGTCATACTCTAATTGTCAGCATGACGTCATACTCTAATTGTCAGCATGATGTCATACTCTAATTGTCAGCATGATGTCATACTCTAATTGTCAGCATGATGTCATACTCTAATTGTCAGCATGATGCATATGATGTCAGCATGATGTCTACTCTTGTTGCTGGCATCATGCTCTAATTGTCAGCAGGATGTCATACTCTAATTGTCAGCATGACGTCATACTCTAATTGTTGCTCATCATCTCAATCACTCTCACCATATTTACATGCTGCCTTCTCTGAAATATTGCAGCATTATACAGCAGAATAATCTTGCAATACTGGTATCTAAATGGTTCTGTATGGTTCATTGAAAATATTTGAAGATTATGGCTTATGTTCAAAGATAGGAGGTGGGCTTGACCAGTGGTTAAAGTATTCACTTGTCAAGCTTAGACCTGGGTTTGATCCCCCTCAATGTACAAACCCATTCTGGCATCCCCTGCAATGATACTGCAATATTTATAAAAGAAGTGTCAAACAATTCTCACTAACTTAAAACATTTGAGAGAATGTAGATTCTTGCTGAAAGATGTATTTCATGATCGAGTTATGGATGCAGTGTTTGATTTTGTTAACGAGATAGGATGTGGAAGAATTTATACGTTATTTATAATTGTGAATTTATAATCTGCCTTTTCCATGTAGAAAGTACATGCTGAACACATAATCTTATCATTATTACCAGGATAACCTAAGCTGCCTGTAAAGGCAGGAAGGTTAATAGTCACATGACTTATCCCACCCCAGTTCTCATTTTCTGCTGATTGAAAAGAGGCAATTATGAACAAACTCGTCTAAGGTGAGACCACATGTATAACATGTGCTTTGTTGTGAGGACTGAAGTGATAGAAACTCTCAGGAGTCAAGCTGCCAAACATGTCACCCATCCAATAGGGGTGGGTATTGCAGGGAATTTTCATATTGCGATACGAAAGCATGTATTGCCATATGTATTGCAATATATTGCAAGAAGGTTTTTTAAACAAAAAACTACTTATAGTCGAGTTAATACTTGATTTATAAAGCAAAAACACAATAAAATCACAATGCTTGCTTAGGCTTTAATATCAACTTTTAATTATGGCAAAATAAAAATGTAAATAATGTTTGGCACAAATGAAACAAGGAAAGGAACAATTTAAAAACGGAAATATCCGAAGATTTCTGAGTGTTACGAAGGTTTCCGATTGCATGTCAAAATACCGGTTTTCGATCAGCGTATCGCAATACGTATCGTTTTCATGTCTGAACCGGTAAATACCGGTAAACCGGTTATATTGCGCAGCCCTACCATCCAATGAGTCTCCTCACCCAACGTTGCTCTACTTCAACTGATTTGTGACCTGAGCTCTACGCACAGGACCATGTGTTATTTTAACCTTCACTCAATATTTCTGAACTGGTTTTGGAAGAATTTTGTTATATGGGTATATTTAACATAATTTATTGTGCTGGTCACATGATATTTATTATTATTACTCATGTTATTCACGTAATTATACTGTTGAAATATGCCAAACGTCATTCCATTGTTGCCATTTTTTTATCTCACTCAATCTTTGTTTATTCAGTTAAATTATTAAAACATAATCACACACGTGTACATTTTGTTGTTTGTTTTAATGGCACTTCTGTATACTAACACAGATGGGATACTGAAGTTGGTTGTCTCCCTTCACTGTGTCAGGATCACTGTGTTCATGGCTTTGAATCGTAGATTACTCATGAAAAGTGTACTGGTTAATAATGAAGAGCACACAGCTGATACAGATGATAAGAAACACTGCTGAAAACAAACCTATCAACTCACTCACTTATACGTGGATTTACCTCATGATCCTGGCCTGTAGAAGTTAAAACAAACCTATCAACTCACTCACTTATACGTGGATTTACCTCATGATCCTGGCCTGTAGAAGTTAAAACAAACCTATCAACTCACTCACTTATACATGGATTTACCTCATGATCCTGGCCTGTAGAAGTTAAAACAAACCTATCAACTCACTCACTTATACATGGATTTACCTCATGATCCTGGCCTGTAGAAGTTAAAACAAACCTATCAACTCACTCACTTATACGTGGATTTACCTCATGATCCTGGCCTGTAGAAGTTAAAACAAACCTATCAACTCACTCACTTATACGTGGATTTACCTCATGATCCTGGCCTGTAGAAGTTAAAACAAACCTATCAACTCACTCACTTATACGTGGATTTACCTCATGATCCTGGCCTGTAGAAGTTAAAACAAACCTATCAACTCACTCACTTATACCTCATGATCCTGGCCTGGAATAAAACAAACCTTCAACCTCACTTATACATGGATTTACCTCATGATCCTGGCCTGTAGAAGTTAAAACAAACCTATCAACTCACTCACTTATACGTGGATTTACCTCATGATCCTGGCCTGTAGAAGTTAAAACAAACCTATCAACTCACTCACTTATACGTGGATTTACCTCATGATCCTGGCCTGTAGAAGTTAAAACAAACCTATCAACTCACTCACTTATACGTGGATTTACCTCATGATCCTGGCCTGTAGAAGTTAAAACAAACCTATCAACTCAACTTATCACCTCATGATCTGGCCTGTAGAAGTTAAAACAAACCTATCAACTCACTATACATGGATTTACCTCATGATCCTGGCCTGTAGAAGTTAAAACAAACCTATCAACTCACTCACTTATACATGGATTTACCTCTCATGATCCTGGCCTGTAGAAGTTAAAACAAGCCTATCAACTCACTCACTTATACGTGGATTTACCTCATGATCCTGGCCTGTAGAAGTTCAAAATACAATGATCCCTATCAACTCACTCACTTCACTTATACGTGGATTTACCTCATGATCCTGGCCTGTAGAAGTTAAAACAAGCCTATCAACCTCACTCACTTAACGTGGATTTTAATGATCCTGGCCTTAGAAGTTAAAGCACTTATACATGGCATTACCTCATGATCCTGGCCTGTAGAAGTTAAAACAAACCAAACCAAAATTGTGCAAAATGACTTGCTTGTTCATAAATTACCATAGTGCCACTGCTTGTAACAACCGTACACACACGCCACACACACACAACCACACACGTCACACACCAACCCACACAATCACGTCACAGACACACACCACGCACACGTCACACACACCAACCCACACAATCACGTCACAGACACACACCACACACACGTCACACACACCAACCCACACAATCACGTCACATACACACACCACACACACACGTCACACACACAACCACACACCAACCAACACAATCACGTTTCAGACACACACGTCACACACTAACCCTTCACACACCAACCACAACCCACACAATCACGTCACAGACACACACCACACACACACACAACAACACGTCACACACCAACCCACACAATCACGTCACAGACACACACCACACACACACAACCACACACCAACCCTTCACACACCAACCCACACCATCACGTCACAGACACACACCAAACAATCACGTCACACACAGCAACCCACACAATCGAGTCGCAGACACACCACATACACGTCACACACACGCACCAACCCGTCACACACCAACCTACACAATCACGTCACAGACACACACCACACACACACGTCACACACCACACACACAATCACGTCACAGACACACGTCACACACACACCAACCCACACAATCTCGTCACAGACACACACCACACACACAATCACGTCACAGACACACCACACACACCAACCCTTCACACACCAACCCACACAATCGCGGACACACCACATACACGTCACACACACCAACCCTTCACACATCAACCCACACAATCACGTCAGACACACACCACACACGTCACACACACACCAACCCTCCACACGTCACACACACCACCACCCACCACACACACACACACACACACGTCACACCACATCTGGGTTTTTTAAGGGGATGGGGGTTCGTTGGTGTGTTTGTTTTCTTATTGATTTTCCCATTTAATTCAGGTGTGGACACGAATATCTATATACTATAGAATATCTGTATATGTTGACTTTGGTCTCATCATGGTCTATAAAAATGTCAGGATATGTTTTAGCAATATTTTCGCTATCTGGTCTGTTTGCATACAATGCAAACTGGTTGGGTTTCTTCCCCTCTTGAAAACATCATTCATCTGATGAAGGAGCAAGAATTAGCTCTGTAAAATCGTGATTTAGAATAAAAAGTTGTTATTCAGAAAACGTGTCATTAATTCACATACTGAATCGGCTAAAATATAAATTTAGATAATGTTTTTGTAGGTCAGTATCTTTACGTCAGAGAAGGTATTCTCTTCTTCAGACTGGGGCGGTGGGGTAGCCTAGTGGTTAAAGCGTTCGCCCCCGAAGACCCGAGTTCAATTCCAACGTTGTGTACAATGTGTGAAGCCTATTTCTGGTGTCCCCGCGTGATATTGCGGGGATTTTGCTTAAAGCGACTTAAAACCTATATACTCACTCACTGTTTCAGACTACATGGAACCAGGCACTATGATTAGTTTGATTTATTATTTATTCATAAATGAGGTTTCTCCCTGATTTTGTTTGCATGCTTGTCAGCATTACACATGAGCTCGTTGGTTTTAGGAACGTCTACAATCTGTATCATTTCACGTTTTCCACGAACATAAAACTGACTCGCCGAACTGATATAGAACTGAAATACTGTTCAAAATACTGTTAACCAAACTCACTCATTCAATCAAGTTTACTCGTACCTGTTTGAAAATGCCTGTCCTCGAAGATTAAATATTGTAAAATAAATTGAAAATAATAATTAAAGTACATTAATAATTTCCCGTGGTTTAATGTTGAATGGGATAGCCTTGTGGTTAAAGCGTTTGCTCGTCACGCCGAAGACCCGGGTTCGATTCCCATGCAACATGGGTACAATGTGTGAAGCCCATGTCTGGTGTCCCCCGCCCCCGCCGTGATATTAATTGCTGGAATATTGCTAAAAGCGGCGTAAAGTTAAACTCAATCATTCAATGTTAAACTTGGTCGTCACAATCCAGAAGAAATTGAGTGTGGGTGAGTTTAGATTTACGCCACTTTTAGCAATATTCTGGCAATATCATGGCAGGTACAACAAAAATGGGCTCCCCGCATTGTACCCATGTCGAACCGGGTCTTCGGCGTGACGAGCGAACTCTCTAACCACCGGGCTACGTACCCTACCGCCCTCAGGAGATATAGAGTTTGCCTTATAAAGTTTCAACAGAAATATATCCGGCTGTTTCCCATTCAGACAGTGAACACTATAACAAAACGTAACTGGGCCAGAAGTGACATCGTTCTGGTTTGTACCGTCGGTACTGGCACAATGTACGACAGTATTGAGCCAGTACTAGACCAATGCTTGTTTTCCGTTAGTGGCCCGTTACAAGCAAAACTGTACTGGACCACATATGGGTGCTTGTACCGTTAATACTGCACCGCAATACTGTAGCGGCCCAGTACTGGCCCAGTACAGACAGCTGTGCTTCCTGTCTGGTGAATTGTGGGGGATTATCTCAGGACCATGTTGTCTGCTCATGAGATGTGGCCAAAAGGTAGAGTGTGACATTTTCCACTTTTCTGAATGTAAATTGACTTATAAATGTGACATGAAAACGTAACAGTTTTTGTTGTATATCACTTATAGAGACTACTTTTTTCAACGAAGGTCAAGTGTTGAGCTAAATTTTGAACATTAACATGCAATATGAATTTCGCTGGAAGAAGGGTATTTTGAAACATTCAGTATGTATGTCATGTTGTTAGATCATGGAAAACCTGTTGACATGAATCATTCAAGAACAGAAATTCAATATATGGCTTAGATTATACTATTGTTTGATAACCATGTCATGCTGGACGAAACGTCTAAAGATTGAATAGTAAATTAAAATTTGAAAATACTTCAAAAAGAGACAGTATCGGGTGAATTGAAATTTGAAACTTCTGTTGAACAAGCTCATCCAGAAGGACATGCAATGAACTCTGAATCAATGAAACAGTGACGCATCATGTTTTCATCTTGTTTCATGAATTAAAACCATATGGATAAACTTGTGTTTTCTTGTTTTTGTTTTTTTTTCTTGTTCAGAGTTTGTTTTGGTATCAGCCTGTTTTAAATAGTAGAAACTGTATCAAACTGTGCCGGCAAAACTGTGAAGGGCCAGTTTGCAACCGTTACGGCTGTGTACTGGGCCATACTACTTTGCCTGTACTGGTCGAGGACAGTTCAACGCCAATGTGCAAATTAGTACAGGCCCAGTTCCGGTATACCTTAAATGGGCCTGATTTTCTTATTTTTCTGGCCCAGTTACATGATGGTCATAGGCGGATCCAGGAATTTTGAAAGTGTGTGTGTGTGTGTGTGTTTGTTTCAGTGGGTTCGAACCCCGCATTGGCTCCGCCAACGCAAAAAACATATCGTCAATGGGATCCTAAGTCATTTTCAAGGGGGAGGGGGGTTCCGAACCGCCTGAAATCACCCACCCCACCCCCACCCCTCTGGATCCGCCAATGATGTTAGCTGGGTTATAATTTGACTCTGTAATAAAAATGTAATCAATAGACACGTTGGAAAATATGACAATATTTCTATTAAACTGTATTCAGGTTGTTACATATCATTTCAATGTTTATGACAGGATAATGATATTTATTACAGTAACTTCGCAAAATTATTTTCGGTTCCCAGATTTTTGGCTTTAGAGCTAAATCTCGAACTTTTGTTCTGTCAGTTCTTCGAGAAGGTTGATCGAGTCTAACGAGACAATTTCCAACATTTTCTTTCTTGTGGCAATAGCTTTGGTACTGACCAAATTAGTGCAAAGCCAAGAACAGAAAGAACGTGGGCAAATAAATGTCTTCATCGTGACCGGATAATGTGATAATTGTGACAATATTTAGTCTAGTAGCTTAGCTATATAAGAATGCTGAAATGACATTGACCTAAGACATTAAAAGGGAGGTAAGTCTCAAAGGGGCCTCTCATGTCACGTGATCGAAACGCGGCGTTCTCATTGGTGTATAATGCTATGACCTCTCACTGTGTAAGGTCAAGTCGTTACTGCGGGAGCAACGCTGCTTTTGGGCAGACGTACATTTTCAATAGGATCGCTAGAATTTGGACCAGTCGCTAATATGCCGAAGAAGAAACGTAAAAAGCTTTGTCTACCAGTTTGCTGTAGCGGTAAGTATTTAATGGGGACAAAACGGTATGTAATTTCATGACATGGAGATAAATATGATAGTTTTACGAGTTAGTGATGGCTGCTCTTTGAATGCAGTACGAAGGCCTTGGTGGAACCTCATCTTTTTCACTCAAAGACAGATATGTAACATTCGTTATAGAATATGATGTTGAATACGCGAACTCTTGGGACTGATAGGCGTAATTAGCATAAGAAAATGTGATATGTCATAAGAATGCAGATAAACAACGCAATTTTACTGATAAAAACGGGCCTCTTGCACAGTAGATAATATTTACTGGACCAGCAGTTCGAACACCATAAATCTGTTTCCACTAGTAAAATATTGTCCTGCTTGTAGTATTTGTGTTGTAGTCAAACGATATGAATTCGAATATTCATTCAAAGATGAACGAAGTCCACCAAAATGTCACCTCTTTATCAAGTCGTTCAAACGATTATGTCTGTCGGCTTTCTGTATTTCAGACATTTAGCCGACTATCTGAATCACCAGATTACAAAAGCACAGGAACTTAAATTGAGTAACTTGAAGTGACGCAGGCTATTGCAGTAGACTCTCATTCTATATCTCAAACAGCATCTTGACAACATTGTTGGAGGGAGCTATGGTCAGGGAAATTTGGCAAATTAACATTTTTAGGTACTTTGCATTAGTGAGGTAAACAAACAACACTTATGTTGTCTGCTAATGTTTGATTAATAAATAATGATATTAATTATCCATTTTATTTTATGAAATAGGTAATGTATCACATTATGATGTTGAATATTGCTGAAGTTGTGCATACTATTTCCTGTTTTCCATCTCCAGCAGACATGAAATAATAAAAGAAGCTTTATTATCACAATACTTCCAGCCACTTAAGAAATTTATGCTCTGATCAGTGATGTGATAAAACAACACATTTACATTTGTTTTTGTTGTCTTTTTTGCCCCATCTGGATGCTCTCTGTCTCAATGCTGGTTGAAGTTGAAGATGAGAAAGGCATAAAAAAAACATGGATGCCCCAAGTGTAAAACTATGCCACATTAAAATGGTCATTACTCCATGCATTTGTTCATTCATATTGTCCATCATATTTTTCCAGGAGCAGTTTCTCCTCTTGGTGACTTTAATGGTAAGTCGACTCATTTTTCTGGGTAAAATATTGTTATTTAGAGGAGGCAGTTAAACAGATTGGTTGGTAAGGTCTTGTGCCTTTATTGCTTGTATATCTTGGGGCTTCAACTGAATGGTTATTGCAAATAAGATCAGTGGTTTATCTGTTGTGTCATAATACAACTAGAATGTCTTGCTTTCATCAGCACTAACTCTAAAAATCTTCCTAAACTTGATATTGTATGAGTAGAGGTTGGTGTTGCTTTGAATTCTGTCTTCTGTTTACCCACACAGCACAACCAACCAACCAACCTGATGATCTCCAAACAAGGGAGGTAACTGAAGTTAAATTAGGGAACTCAGAGGATCAGCCAGCCTGTCCCAGATCTCCAAACGTATCATTTTCTGGACTAGATGTTTCTGCTTTAGATCAGATTGGTAAGTAATACACATAGTTTATCTCCATTTATGTTATTTCTTCCAGTCATGGTCCTGAGAAGATCAGGGTGTCATTGCACAAGGTTGTATCCTACAATGGCAACCAGGTCATCAGTGCCTCATGCTTGTCTGAAATGGGGATTGAATGGTTTGATTGTGTGACATGACTCATTGGATATGTCATTGTACCCTTATGGTTTACTTTCATGGTCAGCTACTGGTTCGGTCTGGGGTTTAATGCTGTCATTTATACTTGGCCAAGCCAGTAGGGCATACAATATTTCCATTAGAATTATGTTTTCAAGAAGGAAACCCTGTTACTGGGATTGCACATTATCCTTGCCAAACCACATGAAGCCTCATAAAATCATTGTCTGTGAGTTGGCTGATAATGGTGCTGAGGTCAGGATTTCCTCCAGGTGTTAAAATAATGACATGAAGCAATGCCCTTTGAAAAGTGATATGTTACAGCCTCTGCATTGACAAAGTGGTCAGTCTCATTGATTGTTGAATGTGTTTCAATGGACTTTATTGGTGTAGAGGGTAGTTGCTCACAGAATGCATCACTTGTTTGTCTGGCCCACACATTATTATATACATGTTGTCATCATGCTGGAATATTGCTGAGCTTAGCATTAGAAACCAAGCAAACCAACCAGACCTGGACAAGTCTTCACTGAATGATTGTTTGTTTGTTTGTTTGTTTACTCAAACAATCAGCAATATTGCTGCTATATGGTGGTGGTCTGCAAATAATCGAGTCTGGAAAACAATCCAGTAAAATGAGCATGGATCTATGCTGTTTCGACATGTGTCAACCAAGTCAGTGAGCCTGATGACCCGATCCCCTTACTGGTCTCTTACAACATGTATGGGCAGGGGTGGAAATAACTTTAAAATTGCTAGTGTACTCCGGTACAGTGACAGATGTAAAATCACTTGCCCTGATCATTTTTCCACTGTACAGGACGTTTTCTTGTTGATTTTTTAAATAAACAACATTATTAACATTGGAAAGTCAACTGGACACCGGTACAGCGTGATATACAAATTTACTTGCCCAACAGATAAAAACACTGGTCTCGGATATCGGGCAATGGGTTATTTTCACCCCTGATGTTGTTGGTAAAGACCAATTCTTACCCAGATCTTCATGAGCTCCTTCACTGAATGACAGTTCTGGAGTTCTGACTTTGAAACAACATTCACTTACAAACAAACATATGAATACCATCCATTATTTACTCCACAGCCATAGACAGTGAAGATCAAGAAAAAGACCACCATCTTTCACTGCCTGAACTTGGAGGGTCAAGCTCTGAAACTGCTGATGAAGGACAGGACACAAAGCTGACATCTGCATCAGCAGAGTTGGACAACAGTGAGACTCCCAGCAGACATGCACAGTCTCAGCTGTCCACAGGTAATTTCTAGACTTTGTCAGTTGACTGACTGACTCAGTTTGGTTTTATGCCGTTTTTAGCAATATTCCAGCAACATCACGGCAGGGAACACCAGAAATGGGCTTCACACGTTGTACCCATGTGGGGATTCGAACCCGGGTCTTCGGCGTGACGAGCCAACGCTTTAACCATTAGGCTACCCCACCGCCCCTTGTCAGATGAAATTATTTTAAAACAGTCATTATGTGTTGCTCTTGTTACTTGAACAGAGACTTTTCAGGACTTGATTTAAGCATTTAGAACTTGCACTGGTGCAACCTGAAACTGCAAAATGCAACCTCATATTTAAAACCAACTCAGATGATTACGTGGACAGTGACTGATGACTGCAATTGTTCATGTCATGAAATATTTCGAAGTAAGATAAAATGATCTCATCAGACTCAGAACAATCTTGTTGTAACAATGTTATGAATCATCAAAAAATACCAAAACTCAAGCATTATAAATAATTTGAATTGAGCATTAGGTGCAACCTTTTTTTCTGATGCAACAAGGTTATTACCTAAGGTTGTGCTGGTTGCAAGTAGGTTTCAATTCCTTAAATCGAGCCCTACTACTAGAATGATGGTTTAATTCCCATGGTCCCTGAAGATGGCCTACTTTGGTTCCTCTCTATTTCTACGAATGCTTCAAATACAAATTTGTGATGTTACCAGCCATTTCAGTGTCTTTGAATGGCAGGGTTTCAGGAAATGTTGGCGTATTACTCTTGTTTAGTCAAGATGTGCCTGAAATATATCTGTCATGACTGACAATTTCAACTGAGCCACCTAATAACATTTCTGTTGGAGTGAGTTGAGTTTTGCCCCACTTATAGCAATATTCCAGCAATATCACGGTTGGGAACAGCAGAAATGGGCTTCACACATTGTACCCATGTGGGGAATTGAACCCAGGGCTTTGGCGTGAAGAGTGAATGCTTTAACCACTAAGCTACCCCACCCCACCCTCATTGTTAGAGAAATGTACAATGATGAATAATTCCCAATGTGTGCCTGTTGATCCTTGAAAAATATACTGACTTCATCGTTTACAAATTGCTGGCTTGAAACAATATTTCCAGTAACAGGGCTCGATTTAGTGCTTTGTTACTTGCACTGGTGCAACCCAATATTACAAAATACAACCTAACTATGAGTCTATCTTGCACAAGGTGTAAGTGAATTGTTGAGAAATAAATCAACAATAAATCTAACATATGCATAAATATGCCAGCCCATGTTTCTTCTAAACTTTGAATAGCTATGGCAATGAAACATTGCTATTCATAAACATGTCTCGGCTATGACAGCTCTAAATGTAAACAGGGATCAGCTGTGTCTGAGTGTTGCTATGGTTTCATGGGTACTACATCACTGATTAAGGTTTATGTGCACTGAAACATTTAAACACACTACGTTGCAACTGGAATTTGGCTGGTGCAACTAGGTCTTTATCTTAGGTTGCACCTGGTGCAAGTAGGTTAACATCTCTTAAATCAAGCCCTGAGTAAAGAAGATGGCTTCCTTTCTATATGATTTTAACCAGTTATTACCACTTTGTTTTTCTTCAGGATTACCACCTGTCAATGAGGTCGAGAGGATGCCACTTGATTCTGATCTTGATGTCTCAGCTGCAACAGCACCTCACCCTCCCCCAGCACCTCACCCTCCTGCCTCAAGGTCGTCTGAATCTGACTTCACCGACCAGGACCGTCCTGCATCATCAGCCAGTGACAGCTCATCAGAAGCAAAGACTCACAAAAGTACTGGCTACAACCTGACATCAGGACTGAAAGAGGTAAGTGTTGAGCCATTAAATTCTTTTTAACATGTGATACCCAGTGATGTTTCTAAGGCAGAATAACTCCACAGTGACTAATATAAATTGAAAGTTGACCCTGGATTGGATGGTCAGGCTTGGAAACTTGGTTGATTTTGTGTCATTAAACCTTTGAAGCATGGATCTGTCATTTGATTGTGTTCTCCAGACTTGGATTTCTAAGCATGTGAGTGATTGAGTGAATGAATGTCTAGGTTTTCAGATTTTGTCCCTTGAAGTCTGACCCTACAAGCTAACTAACATGGAAATTTGGTTGCCAAGCGCTCAGTCTGCAACCTGAGACAATATTCTGAGCTCTGACTTGTATTGTTCTTTTCGGTCTTGTAAGCTCGGCTATTAACAGTCCACAGTAAACGGTAAATTCTTTTGAAAATTATGCATAGAGCCAATTACAACTGCATAGTCTTAAAACATTTTGGCACATACTGAGATCTAGCATTTGTCTGATTGAATGACATCATTCCCTTTTGAAGTGGACGCCTGCTTGTGAATGTTTTTAAAACATTTATTTGTTTGGTGAGAACTTGGTTACTGAAATAGATAGCTATATCATATTATACCTCTCACTCAGTAAAGCTGACGTGTAGTTTGATAGGTCAGTATCTGCTTTATCTGATGGTCTTCAAACTGATCAGATTATCATTTACATACTCCTTGATATTACATCTGACATTTCTTTGAAAATTTAGATAAGAATGTTGTTTTTTGTAGCCCCAAATTGTGTGTAGTGTGAATCACTGGATCAGTGTTTGATTTGAAAGCAAGAATAGGCAATTGCAGTTTTACCCATCTCTCCTCATCAGAGTCAAATCTATCTCTCACCTCTAATTGTTATACTTCACCGATCATGATTAACCACTTCCACCAGATTTTCAGTCATATATTATGAAGAGTGCCAGTAATAGATATAGGGATATCATATAGTACAGTTGCAAAAAAAAGGGCGATAACGTTTTGTCACAAGCCCCCTGTCTGCCTTAGAGCTAAGTGAAAAAAACACTTAACACATTTTGTCCATGACCTGAGATCCAAGTGTCAAAATGCAGAATGTGCAGCATCTGTATATTAAGTGTAAGGTTGGGAGTACTCTACTAGCATATTATTGTTCTATGCCCAGAGGAACGGACAGGTTTTACCTCAGAGCCTTTAGCTCTACTTGTAGGTCTATTATGGTTTTTTTGTGCACAAGTCTCAAGTACATGTAGGTATGAATGTTGAACATTGAGGTTGGGACAAGGATGCTTTTTCTTTGTTTCCTAATATTGATAATGATAATAATAACAACTGATGTACCCATCACAGAAAGAAGTTCAACACCACGTCGTGTGAATAGAGTTCTTGCCATGGCACGTGAGAGCCGCCGTACTGGACTAAAACGGGAACTGTTCCCAAGTCCTCCACCTATGAAGAAGGCTGTGAGAAACCAGTAGAGAAGTCCACAGCAGACACCTCCTGCAGTGAACTGTCCTCAGATGCAGAACTGTACAGACTTCTTGGATTGGAGAAACCAAAAGCTGTCAAATACAAGATAGGTAAGATTAAAGTGTCCATTTACATAGCATGTCAACATGTTTTGACACAATAATGTTCCAAATTCTTCCTGCTGTTTTAGATAATAACTGAATTCCAGAGACTTTTTCTGAACATTTTTCTGTGTGACAAGAACAGCTATCAGTTCCTCCTGGAATCCGCGGCATTAATAAAAAAAAAAATATTCTGCCAAAAGATTCTGCAGTTAAATATTGAAAAAAACAACCCAAAAAATTATAAAGAATTTCAAACTTTAATTCTTAAACACAAAGATGTAACTGTTTTAGAGCATCAAAATATTGTTTCGTTTGATAGTCAGTCTTGATTTACCTTTCAAAATAAGTAATTTATGTGCCAGTAAAATGGGAAATTATGCAGGTATTCTGCATGAAAATGCTTTTTCGGACCAGACGTTTGTCTGTATTAAAAGGTAATTTCCATGATTAATTCTGCAACCATGGAATCACCGAATCCAGGAAGGACTGAGCTGTTCATGGCCTATACCGTAACATTAAAATGTACAGATATGGCTAACAAATGTTTTGGCACAGGCTGTATGTAAAGTCAGGACAATGTATGACCAAGCATGACAATTGCTCATACTGGCACCCACTGTTATTTTATTGCAAAGCCTTGATTTTGTACTGACTGTATTATTTCTGTAATATTGCTGACGGGCATAAGACAGCATCGACTTCACTTACTAGTACACAATGCAAAAGTAAACTGTTAGTCTATTTGCATTGTGTATGTCTTAGATCCTGTTGTAATAGCTGACCAGATGTGATTACTTTGTCATTCACAGATGGCATCATTAGCTTGAGGCGAGCTTCTGCCAAAACCGATTTGCCCTCAGTTTTTGTCAACAACTCTGATTCTCTTGTGGATTCACTCACATCAAATTCAGGCAGTTCTACTGATCCTGAGCTCCGTAAACTCCTCGGCATGAGCAAAAGCACTGATGAAGATGATTCAGAACCTTTTGATGCATTTAAGAAAAGGAAGCCACTTCCCCCTGTGAAACGCATGTCAGATGTGGATAGTCCTACTGAAGTTCTGACTGATAATTCTCCCAAGGACACCAAATTTCTGAAAGAAGTCATCAATGGGTCATATAGAGCCAAATCCCCTCTTGCACCAATTCCTACAATGCGTAAAGAGCAAGAAGTTCCTCGTGATGTATCAGAATCACTTTCCTCCAAAAGCATGTCCTCACGTGGAGCCTTCGCTTCTGCAGGTTCAGCTATTTTTCATGAGGAGCAGAACATTCGTTCTTTGAGAACCAACGGGAAACCAGATGTTAAAGTTAGGTCCGTTAAGGCTCTTGATCCAAGGAAATCAAGAGTACCTGATCCAGTAAATACTGATGGATCTAACAGGAAGATGGAATCTCCACCAACACCAAACCCTATGTCATCCTTACGTCCTTCTCCACCTGACTCAAAGGCACCAGAAATAGGGACAAGGTCTCTCTCAAGGTTTCCACACTCAAGGACACCAGGCAATAAGGTGTTGGACAAGAATATTGAAGCCCCAAATCAGCCAGTGGATTCACAGAAATCTGGTTACACCAAATCAGGACTACAGCGTCCAAAAGAGCATCAGTTTATGTCCTTTGGTAAGATGTCCGCTTCAGTCAAACCAGAGGAGACATCAGTGGAATCTGTAATGGTCCCGAATCCTAGATTTGGTCTTGGTCCATCAACAGTACAGGATCATCGGTCCAGCAACAGATCAAGCTTTAGCACATATGCACCATGTCCACCAGTAGGGAAGGTAGCAGACAGACATATGTCATTCAACAGTGTGGCTCCATTGCCTTCAACATCCACCTTAGTGGATAAGCCACCTACAGCAAGAAGACAGACAGGCTATGAGCAGAGTCAGTCACCCAGTGGACCAAAATGCACACCTGAAATGCTCACTAGAAGCAGCACAAAGGCTGGATTGTCACACTTTGTTGGATCCAAGAGAATTATCCCAAGACCACCTAGCACCAGTAGGTTAGAGAGTGTGCACAGCTCTAGTTCAAGCTCCTCTGAGGGCATAGATATCTCTCCTAGACCAGCATGGGACATGTTGAAAGCTGGTTTAAAACCACATGCTGAAGTATCTTCCTCTTCCTCTTTTGAAAACAGAAACACAAGTCTTCCTTTCAAGCCATCCTTATCAAGTTATTCAGCTTACCCCACTTCAACATGTAAGTATTCACTATTTACTGTACTGTTTATAACTGCCATCAAAGCAACACACCACTGATCTGTGAAAATTGTACAAATTCCAGCTATGTATTTTAACACTGTACCATAATCCTGGCTGTGGTAAATCTTTGAGTAAAATCTATTGACAAATGCTGCTTGATTATTAATAAAATGTCTGGCAAGACTAGATGATAATGCTACTCTCAGCAATAGTCCAGCTATGTTGCCGCTACTGTGTTTTGAAATTAGAGGTTGTATAACAGATTTTTAACAGCTGTAAATTTATTTCTTAAAACCTTTGTCAATGGTCAGTATGCTGACACTAAATTGACAAGACAACTGGTGGATTTCATAAATAAATCACTATGCTTGTCCCGGTTAGATGCGATTTCTATGACAACATTTGTTCTGTCTTTTTTTCAGTTTCACACAACAGACAACATCAGTAAGACTAATGGGGACAGGTAAGTATGATGTGCCTTGATCTAAATAGAAAGTCAGAAACATCACTAGGCTTTTTGTGTTTTCATTCTCATTCTTGTCAATTGTGTGTATACCTGAAGCTGTGAATCTGTATCCACCATACATGCTCAGGCTATTGCCTGTTTAACATCAGCACAATTATTAGTAATCACCATCTCCACCTGAGTGTCCATTGACATACTGCCACGGTTGTGTTGACTCTTGAAGTTGGAAAACCTTGAGCACTTACTAGTTTTGAGGGTGGGTAAGCATGCTGATGTTAATGGTGATGTGACTCTTTTGGACAGTTCAATACCTTGGTTGTTTTACATTGGGTAAGTTTTGAATTTATCTTTCCAAGGCAATTCTTTGCTTGTGAGTTTTGGGGCTACAACCTTAATAGAAACTCAAGAAGCAATTTTTGTATAAGTGTCCTTCATCAACTGTCCTATTCCTTCATCACTTCTAAACTGGTATGACCCGTGAAGATCCAGGTTAGAATTGATCTTCAGTAACCCATGCTTGTCTTAAGAGGCGACTGGATGTTTTGTCCAGACTCGATTATTTATAGTCCGCCACTCTATAGCTGGAATATTGCAGTGTGGTGTAAAACTCACTCACTCACTCACTCACTCACATGTCACAGATACCCATCATAAACATATGCTAAGTCTAGTCAGTTGTTCCACTGAAATAATTTGAGAATGTATGGTATAACTATAAGTCAAAATAGGGAATTGCATCAGACATCATTTTTGTCACTGATGCATCAAATTTTCACACCTTTCAGTGTTTGATTGTATTAAAGTCAAAGACATCTGCGTTCACAGTGGAAATGACTGATGCTAACATTAAATTTAACAAACATTTTGTTTGTTACCGGTTAGTTCCCATGAAGCAGAATTGTTAAAACACAGAAGTGAGCTTGGAAGGATTACCTTCACGGCCTGGTGATCTTGAACAAAGGCCATCCTTCGTTTTACAGGCAAAAGGTTGATACGAAAAGTTGAAGTTGTAAAGAAATGAAGTAAGCCTAATCTGATATTTGACATTTCATGACATGATGTATTTGGTGTCACCACAGTTAATCACAAGTTGAAACATATCATATGAAATATATCAAACATTATGCACCAAACATTACAAAGTACAAATATATATTCTGTTATATGTACAACTGAATTATGACATTGTTACTTTGTAACAATATAATTATTTTATCAATATCACTATAAAGTAAAAAAATCGATGGATCAACCATTAAAGATCAAGAAGAAATACTAAAAGAAACCCAAAGCTTTTATAAAAAACTATATAAAAATGAAAACTGCACACAAATTAATCTTGATTATTTGTTAAACAAATACAATATACCAAAACTAAATGAAGACAGTGCTGCAACTTTAGAGGGAGAACTAACATATGAGGAAACCCTAGAAGCATTGAAAAAAATGAAAAATGAAAAAAGTCCCGGACCAGACGGGTTTACAACAGAATTTCTAAAATTCTTCTGGATAGACATGAACAAATTTTTGATAAACTTGTTAAATTATGCATATCAAAACGAAAATCTATCAGTTACCCAGAAACAAGGATTAATTACATGCTTACCAAAAGAAAACAAACCAAAACTATTTTTAAAAACTTGGCGGCCAATTTCTCTTCTTAACACATCATATAAAATTGCATCAGCGGTTATAGCTAATAGAATGAAGAAAGTATTACCACTAATAATAAATGATGATCAAAAAGGCTTTGTACCAGGAAGATATATTGGTGAGATCACAAGGCTGATAAACGATCTAATGGAGTACACAGAATCTTACCAAATACCAGTACTCTTAGTTCTAATAGATTTTGAAAAGGCTTTTGATTCAGTTGACAGAAACTTTATACTAAATGTGTTAAGATTCTTTAATTTGGGACCTAGTTTTCAGAAGTGGATCAGAACTTTCTTTAATGATATGCAATCAAGTGTACTTGTAAATGGATTTGCTAGCACCTTTTTTCCTATAGCCAGAGGTTGTCGCCAAGGAGATCCGGTATCGCCATATATTTTTGTTTTATGCCCAGAAATTTTAGCTATACTTATCAGAAATAATAACAATATAAAAGGTATTAAAAAGGGAAGTATTGAATATGTTCTTGCACAATTTGCTGACGATACCTCTTTATCTTTAGATGGCACTGAGAGTAGTCTATATGCCTTGTTGAACATTTTATCCTTTTTTGCAAGGTTTTCTGGCTTGAAAGTTAATGCTGACAAGACAAGACTGATCTGGATAGGTTCAAAGAAAAGATGTACCGGTAGATATAAACTCTGTAAAGACTGGAACTTAGATTGGACTCAAAGTGACTTCAAGCTACTGGGTATTATGTTTGATGTAGACCTTGACAAAATGGTGAAACTGAACTATGATGATAAGTTCAAAAAGATAGAGAAGGAAATGAAATTATGGTAAATAAGAACACTTACTCCAATCGGTAGAAATGTTGTTTTGAAATCACTACTGCTTGCAAAATTAAACCATTTATTTTCCTCACTTCCATCACCCCCTGATGAAATAATAAATCAATTTCAACAAGCCTGCTTCAAATTTGTATGGAAAAACAAACCGGACAAAATTAAAAGAGACATTTTGGCTATGCCACCTGATTACGGAGGAATTAGTGTCCCACTCATTAAGAATAATATTTATGCACATAAAATAGCATGGATAAAAAAATTATATTCCAGTAACTGCAAATGGAAAGCATTAGTGGATAACTGTATACCTAACTACGGAAGACTTTGGTTAGCTGATCCTGAATATTTGGAAAAACATATAAAACCATACATAAGAAATCCATTTTGGAGAGATGTAATTTCTGCATGGGGATCATATTTACAAAAGCATTATAAGATAATAAGTTCAAATGACATGTTAAACCAATGTATTTGGTTTAATTATATGTTTAGCATAGGTAACGAAACAAATTTTATAAACAATTGGTACAATGCAGGAATACACTTTATATATGATCTAATGAACCCAACCACAAGGGAATTCTATACTTATGAAGAACTACAAAAAATATATCAAGTTAAAACAAATATTTTAAGATACCACAGGATTAAATCTTCCATAATTGCCTGCTTAAAGAGAAGACAAATCATTCTACCTAAAACATTCCCATTCTCACCAATACTACCATTTAATATATCCAAACTTAATCTAAAGGTCAAAGGCACCAAAACCTTCTACCTTTCTTTACTGGACTCCAATTACAATATGAATAAGTCATATGCACATAAAAAGTGGGAAAGAGTCTTTGAAACACAGTATGATAACACAATGCTACGAAACATGTATATGATGGCAAAACGATCCACAAAATGGTTACAGATGAAGATATTGTATGATATTATACCCACAAATATTTTCTTAAATAGGATCGTCCTAAAGGACACACCTTTGTGTACATTCTGTTCAAAGGAACTAGAAACAATTGTCCACCTACTCTGTAATTGTTGTCATGTAAAATAGATTTGGGAGAGTTTGACCAGATGGCTAATGACCGTAACTGAAGGTAACATTGACTTTACACCAGAAAACATCTTACTTGGATTTAAAGGGAAAAACAATAATTCTTTAAATGCAATATGTCTTGTTGTGAAACAGGTAATATACACAAAAAAAAATAAAAGAACAAGTTCCAAGTTTCAAACATGTAGTAAGCGAGGTATCAAAATACTATGAAATTACAAAATATAATGCGTACTCTACATGCAGTGAGTTTTTTTACCTTCTGGTCATCTTTCCACAATCTATTTACAGAAAATACTAGGTCAGAAAACATATAATAAATGTATTTAATTACTATTATTAGTATTGGAATCACCGAGATAAGATATTCAAAGACGTTTATTCATTGTATGAAGGGGATTTGTGAGGGTGTATTGAATATACTTTATATATTGTATATGAATATTTGTATGAATATACTTATGTGAATGCATTCTTCATGTACTATGTCAAATGTGGAAATAAAGATAATAAAAAAAATAAAATAAAATAAATATCACTATAAAGCACCCAGTAGTCACAATTTACACAATTCATATTAAACATATTGCATTACTTCAAGCTAGTTTCATTCCATGAGATACTGTATCTAAGTAGTACAACGCATCAATGTCTCCACGCGCAAGTCTATGTTTCAGTCTATGTTCTTTAGGGGCAGTCTCTGGCTTTTGCATCCCTTGTTTGTCTTGAATCGGGTAAGCTGAATAGTGGGATGATAATGTGACTATTTTCTTGGCAGTTGCAATCCTTGAGTGTTTTTAAGTTGCATAAGCTGAACAGTGTGATGATGATGGGACAGATTTTCTTGGCAGTTAAAACTGTTGGTTGCCATAAAGTTGGATAAAAAGTTAATGATGCAATGATGATGTGACTTTTCTTCTTGGCTGTTGCATCCCTTGATGTCATGAAGTTGGGTAAGCTGTACAGTTGGGTGATGATGGGACAGCTTTTCTTGGCAGTAAGAACTGCTGATTTCTTGAAGCTGGGTAAGCTGAATAATTAGATCATGATGTGACTCATATTCTTGGCAGTGAGAACTGTTGATTTTCTTGAAGTTGGGTAAGTTGAATAGTTTGATGATGATGTCACTTATATTCTTGGCAGTGAGAACTGTTGATTTTCTTGAAGTTGGGTAAGCTGAATGATTCGATGATGATGTCACTTATATTCTTGGCAGTGAGAACTGTTGATTTTCTTGAAGTTGGGTAAGCTGAATAGTTTGATGATGATGTCACTTATATTCTTGGTAGTGAGAACTGTTGATTTTCTTGAAGTTGGGTAAGCTGAATGATTCGATGATGATGTCACTTATATTCTTGGCAGTGAGAACTGTTGATTTTCTTGAAGTTGGGTAAGTTGAATAGTTTGATGATGATGTGACTATATATTCTTGAAGCAGTGAGAACTGTTGATTTTCTTGAAGTTGGGTAAGCTGAATGATAAGCTGATGATGATGTCACTTATATTCTTGGCAGTGAGAACTGTTGATTTTCTTGAAGTGGAGTAAGCTGAATGATTGATGATGATGTCACTTATATTCTTGGCAGTGAGAACTGTTGATTTTCTTGAAGTTGGGTAAGCTGAATAGTTTGATGATGATGTCACTTATATTCTTGGCAGTGAGAACTGTTGATTTTCTTGAAGTTGGGTAAGCTGAATGATTCGATGATGATGCCACTTATATTCTTGGCAGTGAGAACTGTTGATTTTCTTGAAGTTGGGTAAGCTGAATGATTCGATGATGATGCCACTTATATTCTTGGCAGTAAGAACTGTTGATTTTCTTGAAGTTGGGTAAGTTGAATGATTCGATGATGATGCCACTTATATTCTTGGCAGTGAGAACTGTTGATTTTCCTGAAGTTGGGTAAGCTGAATGATTCGATGATGATGCCACTTATATTCTTGGCAGT